CATTACTCTCCACAAACAACTCGGACGTCGAGTATAAACATATACAATGCCCCACCCCAATGTTACTTCGGTAACCAAGCTATCACTTCTCTCTTTGAATTGCAGAACTTCCCATCAAACGTTATCCTACTAGACGATTTCAATCTTCATCACCCTAACTGGAATCCTCTACATCCCACCCCCTCAACGCTAGCTGAGCCCTTCGTAGAATGGTCCAACTCTCGAAATCTACACCTCATCTCTCCAATCGGAATTCCTACTCATACAAAAGGAAACACCTTAGACCTTACTTTTCTATCAGGACCCACGTTAAAAACCTTACTTCACTGGAACTGCCAAAGTTCGAAGGCCATCCAAAAACTTAGATTGGACACATTGGACGAAAAACTCTTTATAGACCTACTAGGAATAAACCTAACCAATATCGATACCAGCACCGAAGCACTTTACACCAATGAGCTAGATCGATTAGCATCATCTCTCACACAAGCTCTCATAAAGGCCTACACAGACTCTGCAAAAAGATCTACAAACAGCCCCCTTCAACAACCTTGATGGAACGAGGATTGTACAAAGGCTGTACACAAACACAGGACTGCTAAAACTCCTGTATCCAAGCGCTCTCTCCGGAGAACAGTCTGGAAAGCAAAACATACCTTCTATATCTCGAAAATCGACAAAATAAAGAACATAAACGATATATTTCGAATAGCCAAATGACACTAGACTACAAGCATATACCGAACCCCGCCTCTAGCAGACCCTTCAAATTTGACTATTGCAAACAGCATCGAAGAGAAAAAAGAAGCATTCGCCAGCAATCTACTAACAAACTCGGCCGAAGTCGACGATATTCCTTTCGATATCCCAGCGATCCCATGTCGTTCTATCATCTTCCCTGATATCGATCTACAAGATATAGAACTAGCTATTCTAAAGACCGGGAACACAGCACCTGGTGCAGATGAAATCCCGACGAGAATCCTACAAATCGTATGGCCACTAATCAGGGATATAACCCTCTCCCTCTTCAAAGGGTGTTTAAACCTAGGACATCACCCAGAATGTTTCCGGATAGCTACAATCGCAATCATCCCTAAGCCCAATAAGCCCGACTATACCAACCCAAGATCATACCGCCCGATTGCTCTACTTTCAGTTCTAGGCAAAGGCCTTGAAAGACTCATTGCGAAGAAAATATCAAATCAACAGTTCGGAGCTCTACCACTGCGATCCTCAGTAGACCTCACATCTTGTGTTACACATGATATCGAAGCATCTTTGAAACAAGGGTTAAAAACTACACTTCTCACAATGGATGTGAAGGGAGCTTTTGACGCAGTATTACCAGGACGACTAGTGAACCACCTTCGGGAACAAGGATGGTCAAACAAATTGGTTAAATGGGTACAGTCCTTTGCCACCAATCGTTATATCAAGATCCGACTGGATGGCGAGATCGGCCCAAAAACAAAGTTAGAATGCAGCCTTCCCCAAGGCTCTCCAATCTCCCCGATCCTGTTTATACTCTATATTGTGTCTCTTTTCTGGATGGGCAATCCACGGAAAAGATTCGGGTACGCTAACGATATTGCGTTACTAGCAACATCCGATAGTCTCCAAAAGAACTGTGATATTCTTCAAGCAAATATGCAAGAAGCTCTCGAATGGGGAAAAACCGAAGGCATCACCTTTGACCCCAAAAAATCTGAGCTAATACATTTCTACAAGGGACATCGCATACTAACTGAAGCTCCCTCAGTACACACTGGCTCCCTGAACATCGAGGTGAAACCTGGTCCGCTCAGATGGCTTGGAGTCTATTTCGACAGAAGACTAAACTTCAAGCCACATATACAGATTCTTACAGCAAAAGCCCTCAAAGGAGCTAATGCACTAAGATCCTTCAATAACACATGCCGAGGGATACCCTCCTACTCCACCAGAAGAGTGGCTGTAGCCTGTGTACTAAAGAAATGCTACTTTGCTTCGGAAACATGGTGGCCAGGCCGAACCAGATTAAAGAAGAATGCCTCGAACGAGTCAATTTCAAATGTAGTGGACAGCCATATAAATCTACTTAACAAAGTGATCCTCACTTGTGCAAAAGCAATTCTCCCAGTATACAAAACCACGAACACAACGGTGCTATACGAGGAAGCCAAACTCAGGCCCTCCGAAATCGAGCTAAACTTAGCCTCACAAACATATGCTATGCGAACCTTTAGACTAGACCCTTACCACCCCCTCAGAATTAGAGCGAAAAGCATGATCAAAGCCAAAGACCAGAACCGAACTGTAGATACAAGACTTTCAAGTTTCATCACAGCATTACCAAAAGCTGAATATATAAATCCATTAGTTTTCCCTTTATGGGAACACAAGGAATCGAGAGCAGAAGCCGAGATACGTATAGCTGGCCCGATAAGCAGAACAAAGGCCCAAGCAGCTGACGACTTCAAGGCCTTCCATCCTAAGATCCCAAGGAGTGATATACAGATCTTCTCGGATGGTTCAAAAAGCGAAAGCAAGGACGGCGCTATCGGAGGTAACTTTGTAATTACACAATTTGATATTCAAGTGGCCCATTACTCCTTCTCACTTGGCATAAATACAGAGGTATTCGACGTGGAAGCTATGGCTGCAGTAACGGGGGCAGCAAAGGCCCTAGCACTTCCATCAATCAAACTTGCTACAGACCTATGGATCTTCTTGGATAACTACGAAGTAGCCCTAAGATTAGGCTCCCACTTCAATGGCTCGTCTCAGGCGGTCTTCGAAGATTTCCTGAAGCTCACACAGGCCTGGGCCGCTAGACCGAGGCTCCCACATATCCCCCCTGGTAAAATACGCATACACTGGGTCCCAGGGCATCTCAACATTCCAGGCAACGAAATGGCCGACAAAGCAGCCAAGGAAGGGGCAAAACTCCCCCCACCCCCCAACCCGGCCTGCACGTTAGCCTCCCTCAAAAGACTAATCAGATCAAAGACCAATAAAGCGGATAACCAATTGTGGAACACAGTCAGCCCTCAGTATTACAAAGATCTGCAATATAAGCACACTTCCAATACAATTACTCTCTCCTTAAAAAGAGCTACACTTCATTACATTCTTGCAGCCAGATTACAGTATGGAGACTTTGCAGCATATCACGAACGCTTCAACTACACTACAGCTCATACTCTCTGCTCATGCGGTAAAAGGAAAACCCCGTTACACTTCTTCTTCTACAAGAAAGGCAAAGCTTACAAAACACTTACGAAAAACCCACTATCTAAAGCCATCCCCTGGCTTCTAGGCATCCCCACAGGTGGTCTCGCACTAGCCAAATGGCTTGAATCCACCAAATTCTACACAGATATCTGCCCACAGCTTGTATCTGCAGCTTAAAAAAAAAAAAAAAAACAAAGCCTCTCCTTCGTTTTCCCTCTACTTCCTGTATCTCCTTTTTTCAAACAGGTACTCAAAGAGCTTATTCTCTCTCCTCCTCTTCTCCTTCCTTCTCTTTACATCTCTATTCTTCTCTTCTCTTTTTTCTCTTCGTTCCTCCCCTTTCTTTAAAAAGAAAAAAAAAAAAAAAAAACAGTAAATACACAAGATAATTCAACAAAAACGTATGAGGGGAAGGGAGAGTGATCAAGAGCCAGTGATCTAGTGGACGAGGAGGACCACAATATTAACCACTAAGCCAACCGGCCCCAAATCTGTCGCGAAGGCAATCATGTAAACCCTGCCCTAGCCCCTTTAAATTGTATATAAATACCCTCCCTAGCTAGCTAGTACACTACTTAGAGGCATACCCCTCTGAGCGTCATTTGTCCAAAACTGGAATAGATGGCTAAGGTTATCACGCGCCAAGGCGCGTGGGCCTACGGCCTATGACGATAAACACAATCAATCAATCAATCAATCCACAAACTCTCAGGATCCAAGAGATCCAATGGAGGACGAAGGTCTATATAATCAGGATGGTTTCCTTTGTGTAGAGCTTCGTGCTCAAGATCAATCATTTAGTATATCCTACTATTAGTTACGAATTGCATATCATTATTGTCATTACTTAAGTCCCTGCTTGACGCCTAGTTATAAACCACCTCGAGAGCCTAGAGCACTTCCACGTGATCTAGACGGCAAACCTCGTAACAGATTAGGAGATTAGGAGATATTATCTAGAACTTTTGGATGGATAGATACGTGGTGGAGGGTTTCTAGTAATTATATACCCAGTTACCTAGTAGAAGTAAGATAACTTGGGGGGAGTTATGTTATATTCTTGTAGATTTGTATTGTAAATGATTATAATTATAAAGTAAAACCGGAATTAACCTATAGGTTTCATTGTATAATAAAAGTAATTTGTCACAAAATGAGCAATTTCCAGCTGTGTGAAGATATGCGACCTAATTATCTTCGATATTTTCCGGGTATATTATTGAGATATCAATCATTATATAATCTTACAATCAACAAAATAAACAATATCATCATCATCATACAAACTTCATCGATCATAAAATATACCTGAAATCCGGGCCATCATTTTCCCTTCCCCCATATTTTAAATTTTTAGCAAGATTACCATCTCCCCCATTACCGCCGAGAACTCCATACTTTTCATCTAATTTTCGATTTTCAAATGCCATTCGAAAACGTAGGGCCATCGCCAATGCTCCATTAAAGAGCATAAATGCAGCGCAAATCCACTAATATGAAGCCACGATCAGTACACTTTCAATCAGGGAGATAAAATGATCGTGCAAACATACCATTCCTTTCTTAAAGTAAGGTCCTTCGCTACTAGGATACAATCTTGTCCCCAGGAGAGGTCCGCATTGTCCAACGACATTTAAAATCGCAATACCAGTTCCTCTTTTACTTTCACTGCCCTGATTATTCATTACCCATGGGAGGATATTCCCAATAGCCGGGAAAATACCCGAAGCTGCCAAAAATACTCCAGCATACCGCACTCCCGTGCTGGAAGATACGGCAAGCATGATGTAGCCTGCGGCTCCAATGAGAGATAGTACAAGGATAGTGTATCCACGCTGAGAATACTTGTCCGCGAGCCACGTTGTAAGAATTACCACTAGAAAAGCGAGAAAATAAGGCGGAGCGGACAATCCTTGGGCATTGACCTTTGAGTAGCCCATCGCAGCAAGAATGGTTGGTAAGAAAACCGGCAGAGAAGCAAATGATACATTACAAGAAAAGTACATCAATGCCGTTGTCCAATTCTTGATATCAAGGAGCGCGGCCCTTACTTCGAGCCATTGTATCCCGTGTGGCCTTCCAGACTCGGCCGTACCTACTTGTCGAACTTTGCGAGCTTGTGCAACAAGTAGTTCTTCTTTTGTCAAAAACTTGGCTTTCTCAGGACTATCTGGCATAAGAAACCAAGTAAGAACACCAGCAAGAATGGCCGGCAAGCCTTCAACTAGGAACAGCACACGCCAAGCTGCAATGCTATGAAAATGACCAGAAGTAATACCGTAGGCTAGAGCACCAGCAAAGCATGTTGCTAAAGGAGCTGCCCCTAGATAAAATCCGCATCGAAGTCCAAGCTCATTTCTTAGATAAAAGAAAGACAATAAAAATGTGATGCCAGGCGCAAAAGAAGCCTCAAAAGCTCCCAGAAAAAATCTAGCAGCCATCATTCCTGACCAATTGAATGCAACTGTTTGCAATGTCGCAGATAATGCCCATCCCATCACTGTTATAGCGCCCCACATATGTGGTGGTAAGACTTTCCACATCAATACCAATGGCTCGAATACAATGTATGAAATGTAAAAGATGGTGAGAAGCCATTCGTAGCTGTCGGAATCAAGATGTAAATCATCCTCCATTCCCGCGATTTTAGCATTGCCAATGTTCGAGCGGTCAAGATATGCTAAGAGATCTTTTGGCACTTGTTAGTACAATACCATTGACCCAACGGAGTTCCAAGAGATACATACATAGCCCAATGATCAGAGGCATTAAATGCTTATCTATTTTCCGCACAACTCGTCTCTCCATTTCAGGGTCAATCACTGGAAGCGATTCCTCGGGCATCCTTGAATCCAATTGACTCTCAACATCCAACTTCCTGTCGTGCGCTGTATCCATTTTCGTCGACATGTTCTTGTCGTTTGTGCAAGAGCAGAGCGAGGTCGGCCACACTGGTATCAAACTTATATACAACTCAAGTAGGACAATTTATTTGTAATACATGGTAACACAAGAGAGATTTGACCTACCATATATTTATAATAGAAAAATAAGAGTCATACTTACGGTACATTCCAATTGCCATTGAAACTAGTCATAATTGTGTATGCGCAAAAGCTTCGTGCGGGACCCAAAGACTACGTCTGTGATCTTCATCTGTAGATCCTTGCCCGTTCTCAGAGCTAAGGGCGGGTCGCCGGCAGTGCCCTTCCGCTTTCTCAATGGGCTTGTGTAAATTCATCTTGAGAGAGTTGATAGATCCAACGAACTGGGCAGCTAACTCAAGTTTTGTCTTTCCCATCTAGATTGTCATTTTCCGATAGATGCATCGTGTGAAGGGGATGAGCCAAGACACAATGTTACAGAAATACTACAGAAGAAATACTGCCTCTCCACACCGCCCATCCCCTACCAAATCCATCAACCCCTCCAAAAAATTTCCCCAGCATTCTAAAATTATATACATAGATAGGCATACCTCATTTCCAATTCATCCGTCGAATATAGTTAAAATATACCCAATCTCAAAATGGACGACCCAGCATTCATAACCGAAACCGACACCACCACTCAAACCATCCTCCTCGCCGCCTCTAACCACGATCTCTCCGCCCTAAAACCCCTCCTTCGAGTACCCGGCGCAGCCTCTGTCCAAGATCCCGAAACAGGATTTACACCTCTCCATGCCGCCATTGCATCCTGCGAAGATTCTCCTTCACCAGAAGATATAGAAGCCGCGAAAGCGACTATTAAAGAGTTATTTTTATCAGGAGCTATTTGGAATGATCTGGATACGAACAATGAGACACCGGGTTGTCTGGCTTATAGATTAGGTAGGAAGGAATTATATGAATTGGTTGTGGATGCTGGTGTGAGGGCAGAACTTTTAATGAATTTGATGGGTGGTTATGAAGAATTGAGTGATGGGGATGATGAGGAGGAAGATGAGGTAGAGGAAATGGAAATGGAAACTGGTGACGGTGTGCAGATTATTGTCGATGGAGAAAAGACTTCCGCAGAAGAGACCACAGAAGAAAACGTAGAACAAGCCGAGGTGGAAGAAACCCCAAAGAAAGATGTCAATTCCGCAGATTACCTACAAAGTAAACTCGAATTCACCGACGACAAACTCCTCGATGCAGACGCGAACGGTGTAATGATGGCATGGGAAACCACCATCATGCAACGCACTGTTGATCTCCTCATCCCCGCATCATCTCCCCCTTTACGAATCCTCAACATCGGATTTGGAATGGGTATAATCGACACCATGTTCGCATCCACATCACCAGCTAGCCACCACATAATCGAAGCCCACCCGGACGTCCTCGCACACCTTCAAACGCCCGGCCACAAATTCGGAAAAGAATGGGAAGTCTCCGCACCAGAAGAAGGAAGTTATAAAATCCACGCTGGTCGCTGGCAGGAAATCCTACCCACGCTTCTCGAAGAGAATCTCCAGTTTGATGTCATATATTTTGACACATTCGGAGAATCCTACATGGAGCTCAAGAAATTCTTCTCTGAATACGTCATTGGACTTTTATCCGAGAATGGAAAATTCAGTTTTTTCAATGGGTTAGGAGCGGATAGAAAAGTCTGCTATGACGTATATACGAAAGTTGCGGAGCTTGATCTCTGTGATGCGGGTTTGGATGTTGATTGGACAGAGGTAGAAGTAGAAGAGCTAGGGGGCGAAGGAGAGGGAGAATGGAAGGGCGTGAGAAGAAGGTACTGGGTTTTGGATAAATATCGTTTACCCATTTGTGGATTTATGGGATGAAGGGACTAAAAATAGAGGAAGACTAAGTCGCGGAGAAAGGTGTGGCCGTGAAATAAATAATGATACCCATACAGCATATAGAACATCAATCTAAGCAAGTGAATGTTTGTAACAAATTTATATTTATTTGTCCGATGTGTGATTGCCAAAAGCTTTGGTCTGCTAAAATATGAATGGAATGCGCAAGCGAATTGAAGCAAAAAAATGCCATGTGGGTCTTCGTCTACATACCCGTTCTTATGCCATAGAAATACTTTCTCTAAACATTGATCTTAACTAACTGTCCATAGTATTCATGTTCGCATCACTCAATATCTGCTCCTCGAAACTTGTATATCCTTCTGCCTGAGTTTCAGGTACTAACTCATCTGAAGTTCTCTGGGTGCAAGATACCAGCCATGTTACCTTCCTTAACACGCTTGAGGGTCAAAGCAGCAATCAAAGCTGCACCGACACCAGATCCATCTTCGGCGGCCAAGATTTCAATAGGATCATGCTCCTTAGGACTCTTCTTGGCAGGCCAATCAAGAATTTCACGAAGTGCTGCCGCACCACGAGCCTTGAAGTGAGGGTATTTGTTGAAGACTGATCCATCAGCTCCAACGTGGCAGGTCTCATAACCCTTCTTCTTGGCAATGGCGGCAACACCACAGGCGGAAAGACGGGCGGCACGGGTACCGATTAACTCAGCGAGACGGCGGATAAGCTCAAGTTCTGGAACAGTGGTGACTATGCCGAGCTTGTTTTGGAACAGGTCAGCTGTCTCGGACAAGTTCTCGAATGGATCCCTAGACAGTGTTAATCTCTCAACCATAAAACTAGAGCCCTCTATAGGAACTTACTCCTCAACCAAGGATAAGAAAGAAGAGTCCAAGGTATAAGCTTTTCGGAGCTTCTCGATGTCCTGACCCTCAAAGATGTGAATGTCTTTGTTGTCGTGAAGATCAACTAGAACCAATCTGAAAAGTTCTCCAAGGTAAAGACCAGCAATCATCTTCTCAAATGCTTGCTGACCGGGACGTGGAGAATCTTTATCAATAATGATATCGTATGGAGTACGGGGGAGAACTTTGTGTTCATTGTCAAAAGCACCCCACTCGCAGTTGATAGCCATTGGAGTGTCAGGAGGTAGGTTCATGTGGGCCAATTTTGGAATGGAGCCACAATTTTCCATGTAAGCAGCATTGCAACCAGTTCCAAAGATACATCCAATCTTCATGGATGTATCAGTGTATGCGGAAGCGATCAAAGTACCGGTGGTATCATTGATCAAAGCAGTGAGCTTAATTGGCACACCCTGACGAGTTTAGCAAGCGCTATGTTTTTGGAATGTTGATTTAACACTTACTCTCTTAGCAAGAGCTGCTTCGAACATTGGAACAACGTTCTCGCCCTCAACACCTTCAATATCGAAACCCTTGGTCCATCTTTGCAAAATACCCTCATCAATGTAGTTCTGGGTAGCTGGGTAAGAAAAGGTGAAACCAAGACTCAATTTGTCAAGCTTCTCGCCCTGGTGATGGGACTCGATAAACTGCTGAAGACAATCCGCAATATACTCCCAAAGCTCATCGGCATCACCAGTTTTGAGCTCTTCAGGCATGCGATACTTTGATTGCATAATATCGAACTCAGACTTCTCATCGGTCAAAATGATCTCACAGACACGCAAGTTGGTACCTCCCATGTCCAAGGCGAGGAAAGTGCCTGTTTCATAACCGTCTGGGAAAGACATACACCATGTTGGGTTCATTGGCTACTTGAAAATTAGTCATGGGATCTATAACAGAGCGGAAGAACATACAATACTTCCACCCTCCACCGTGAGACCTGGTTTGAAATCAGCAAAACGTTTACATTACAGTGATTGGATGGAGTCTTTACCTTTAGTAAGCTCAGAGACGAAATGTTCGGTGATCTCCTTGAGCTTTTTGGTGTCAACGGTGAACTGTTGCTCAAGTTTCTTGATTTGCTCCAAGAAATTCTTTGGAACCTCCGCCATGGAACCTGTGTGAATGTCGTGAATTAGCAAATCTAATCAAAACCTTATAGCCTCACTGTAAAGTGGAAATGAATTATAGAATGGAGATAGGCTTTTGATATTAAGTTATGCTGTCATCGGTGGTCCATTTCAAGGAGCCAAGACTGTACTTGGTCATGTGCAATAACACAGCTAGTATTGATAGAGAATTTAGATATCTCTAGGAATCTTGCCCAAGAACTGGGTCTTAATGCCTTATTGGATAGAGTGTAGTAGGAAGACGACATTCATGAGCTCCCCTACAGAGCATATGTAAATACTTGAGTACGGCCTAGACAGAACACTTGTCGGGTAGACAAAGCAAATAAGCGGTAGCTTGAAGAGGAAGACATGAATGAGGAGGTGTGAACCTTCTTTAGTTGATGATTTGGTATTTTTAGCAGGACCTGAAGTTGGAGTTGAAGTTGTCGACATGTTGTAATCATTAATCTAGAGACTTCGTAGATTGAAAAGTTACTTGAGTTTTTGATGGTGATACTTTGAGATTGAAATGCCAAGCTTGTTGATTTCAAGCTGACAATCCTCATATGTTTAGACATTGGAGAGATGATAGGGATAGGCTGTAGCAAGTTGCACAGCCCTTTCATTCATAGAGAATAGTGAATGTGAAGTATGAGCTGATATCAACTGCCTCTCGACCGAAGCAACCAGAAATTGGAGTGAGATAGGAAAGTTGAAGTTATACATACCCTTACGGGAAGGAGGCTTTCTTGGACCTAACCCCACCATGTTGAAAGATTTTCAAAGATAGATTTGTAAAGAAAGGGTATAAAGAAGAGAGAAGAGATTCGAAGTCTTGAAAATCGAAATGAAGATATAAGGCAGAGAAGAGCAAAAAAAAAAGAAGTCGCTGTTGATGATGTTGAAGTGTGTTTGAGAGGAAGTGTGAGATTGTGTTGAATGAAACTAGTACACACTCCCAAGAGGAAAAGGCTGCTGTCATTCACCCAATCCTGACTTCACTCGACTCCCGGCCGCAACTTCATCATAGTGGGGTAGTTCAGCTCAACACGACCCAGTAATGGGCCGATTAATAAGCAGAACTGAAGGGATTGATGATTTGATCGTATTTCATGATAAGGTCGGTTCCGATAAGATAAAATATATATTAAGCGCGAAGTGAGCTAAGTAATGGAAGAAAGAGGTGTGAAATTAGTGAATGGCGGCTAATTCTTCAGGACACTTTGGAGCAACGTAAGCTTCATTCAATATTGCTGGGGGACAGCTAACATAACCTTAGCTATCTGGGAGAGAACAGGAAATATTTAACGACAATCATCTCTCAGAAATTCTTCACATTTCATCTTTTTCTTTGTATGGTGTGAATTAATTTTCTCAATCAGGCTGGCTTCTCATATTTCTTCAAAATGAAGTCTTTCGCGCTTGCGACCGCCGTCCTTTCTCTTGTATCTACAGCTTTCGGCGCAGACAAGAGTAACCTGACAAAACCACCTACCTCGAAGCAAATCCTGCCCTCGAATTTTAAACCACCCCAGGTTTTCAAGAATGTAAATTTAGTCCACAGTGTCAATCTCGAAAAGAGTTATCCAAAAGAATCAATTAATGTGGTAATCGAGAACATTGCGAACGAGCCTCAAGATGAATACTACCTACCATTCACATCGAGGCAGATGGAGACGATTGGAGCTTTAGAAGTCAAGGACAGAAAGGATGCCGATTTAGGGCTATTTGAAGTACGAGCAGTAGAGTTTGACACAGAGAGGTAATTTAAGTCCGCGTCATTACTCAAACTATTAGGCTAATTCTTCAAAGTGATACTCAATTTTATCTGATCAAACTGCCACAACCTCTCGCACCAAAAGCACAACAAACAATTGGTATTTCATATTCCTACCTATCGGCTTTGAACCCTCTTCCAAATTCAATCGCACAAAAGGACCTCCAGTATGTCGTTTACGAATTCTCCGCATATGCCCAGTCGTCATACGTCACTTTGAAGCAAAAGACTGAGGTCAAATTTCCAACTACCAATATTCCAGAGCACACCATTATTCCAGGGACCGACGGCGCACCTGAGTCACCACAAAAGCAAGGTTCTAAGTACACTTACGGTTCCTATGGAGAGGTACCAGCTGGCGCGGTAGAACCGGTCCGAGTTCGATATGAGTTCACCAAACCCCTCATCCACGTTTCCAAGTTAGAGCGTGATATCGAAGTTAGCCACTGGGGAGGAAATGTTGCTTTTGAGGAACGCTATACTTTGACCAACCGTGCTGCCAATCTTTCTCAACCTTTCTCTCGCACTCTCTGGAATCAAGCCTCGTACTATGCCGGAACACCCACTTCTGCTATCAGGGAGCTCAAGTTCCCATTGAAGGTCGGAAGTTTGACACCATATTTTACGGATGTCATTGGTAACGTCTCTACCTCTCGTTTCCGCAGCAATAAACGGGAAGCAAACCTCGAAATCAAGCCCCGTTACCCAATCTTTGGAGGCTGGAACTATCCTTTCCGTGTAGGTTGGGATGCTGATGCCAAGAAATTCTTGAGACAATTGAGCGGAGGAGAGCAATATGTTCTCAATGTTCCATTTTTGGAAGGTCCAAAACAAGCCGAGGGAGTTGAATACGAATCTGTCGAACTCCGCGTCATTCTTCCCGAAGGAGCTGAGTATGTTTCCCAACCCCCCCTCCTCTTAAAACCTAGCTAATTCATGTCGTCATAGGAACGTCCAATTCTCCACTCTCGTACCCATCGCTTCCTCCACAATCACCCTCCACAAAACCTTCATGGACACCATTGGCCGCACCACCCTCATTCTCCACTCCCGCAACCTCATCGACGACCTCCGCGATCGCGAACTCATCGTTACATACACCTACCCCTTCCTCGCGGGTTTCCGCAAACCCATCATTATCTTCGTCTCCACATTAAGTTTATTCGTAACGGTATGGGCCATTGGCACATTGGACGTTAGCATTAAAGCGAAGAAACCTTAAAAGCTACGCTCCAGGAGGTAGATAGATAAAAACGAATATGGGAAGAACAAAAAACTAAGCAAGGCAAGAGTATGAAATCATTGAAATGAATCATGTGTACAGATATATAGATAGATAGGTACCTAGCAACATAGCTATGTAAAATGAGAAGAAAAAAAAGTCTTGATCGTTTATTGTTCTACTCTTCCTCATATAAATCTTACACTTTTATCGAATATCATAATTTAGAATTACCTAGGTAGGTACAGATAGATAATAATTAAAAGCGCCAAAGTATCCGAATTGAAGTATTTAAACCTTAGCGAGAAATGAGGAAACGGGTAGATGATGGGACGAGGTTTTACATTACATTACATTACCTCATCTCACCCCTCCCGTTTCTAATTCCTATGGTTCTACATATGCGAATAGCTAGATAATAAGTAAATCATAAATAACAATAGATTCAAGTATATATATATATATATTCAACTAATTAGGTATCCGCATAAATACAAATTCCAAGAATTTCTCATCATAAAAGACTTTGACTTTCTCATTTCTGTTGAACAATTCCAAGTCCATTTCCACTTCCATGTCCATTCACCTATCCCTTTAGCAATTACCCCATCAATTCTCATGTATTAATTTCCATGTCCATCCATCTCCATATTAACAGGTACACCAGTTTGTTTTGTACATTTTAGTACCTCGTCGTATTCCTTCAGTCTCCTTTGCTTTCTCTCCAACTCATTCCCGTAAGTTCCAGCATTTCACCCTATCAATCCTTGGCATTTAATTGAAACGCGGCATTAACCACCACCGCCGCAAATAGCGACGCACACAGGATACTCGGCCCCCAAGCATCATAATACTTGATGTTCTTCCTCTGCCTAATACTATTACTCCTATACAAGTACATACCCACACTATAGGACAAACTCATAATAGCTACTAAGGAGAAAAAACCAGCAGCGATGAAGGATATCGCTGTAGGTTTCGCTCCGAAATTGACGAGTGTGGCGGCAATTGTACCGATATAGATTGAGAATTCGAGCTAAAAAGAACAACTGTGTTAGCGGGTTGGGTGGACAAATGAAAGCTATGGCACCGAAAAAGACACATACCCAGGTCAAAAATGTCCTCTCAGCGGCGAAATATACCTTTGGTTCAACACGAACCGGTACATGAATCTTCTTTCCAGGTGGGGCTTTGAACTTCTTAGCCACAACTTTACCACCACCATTCCTTAGAGCTGTAAATGTAGCATTGTTACTATCCATGGGATCTCTAGGAGCAGGGCTTAAGGAATGAACTCCTCGAGATAATTGATGCGCTGCAGATTTGGCATAATTCTTGATGCCTTCTGTTATAAAGGCAAGACCGCCAAGTTTTCTGTGCCTCTCAAATGGACGATTATCAATGGAATCCTCATCATCAGTATCGTAGATGTAGTCTTCTTCCAACAATGGCATGCTGGCAATTTCCTCCTCAACATCAAGATTGTTGCCTCGTGCTTCATGGTTGCGTCGTCGTAGATTCTCGGAAGCAGCGGCAATAGTCCCGGACCCAGACTGATTGAAATTAAAGTCTTCGTCATCAGAATCATCATCGTCGTCGTCATCACTTGTAGAACTTGGGTTTGAATGCCCTGGTCGTTTGATACCAAAATGCTGAGTAACTGGCTTGCGGATATCTACATCCATCTGTGGCATCCAGAAGGGTATAAGATTTATGCGAGTTGGGAAGAGAGTGGCCGTACCATGAATGAATTTTGAGAATTTAGGAACAGCTTCAACAAGATGACTAGAAATGAGTTCTCGCACCCATTCAGGTGGTTCTTGACCAGCTTGAGTTTGTAGCTTGACTTCAAGGACTGCATAGGGGAATCTTTCGACGTCTTCTGCGGGTAATTGACTGAATGGATAGTCAATACCGATATCCATTCTTCGCCAGTTATCGCCAGCACGTCTTCTTCCGTCAAGGTTATCTTCTCTAACCATGGTCAATTCAGTATCTAAGGAGATACGAACTCTTGCGTCGGCAGGTAATTGGAAAGCTGTACGGTTGTAGAAGGATCGACAGACAGGTACATAACCTTTTTTGAGAACCGAGTATTGAACTTCCCTAGCAAGCCTCTCGTCCTCCTCAATGGCTTTCAGGGGTTTCTTGCCCTCCTTGCGAGCTTTCTCAAATATAGCAGCAGGTAGGATTTCTCCCTTCATATACGCATTGACGTTCTTTTCTTTGATCCCAAATCTTGCTTTAACTGATTTCTCTCCCGTCCAATCCTCACGATGGGTTTTCCTTTCCACAAAAATGTGCTCATTGTCGATGTCACCGTACCATCTCAGACGAATTGCCTCTGCGCCTTCGCTTTTCTTGAGTCGACCCTCGTATAGCTCCCAGGTATCAGGGTTGTCGTAATAAATCGAAGTGATCGCAGAATCTTTTGCTTCGAATTCTTTACTGGCATTGAAGACAAGGACGGGTAAGTGCTAAAAAAAGTTAGCTCAGATTACAGGTGTAGTCAGAATAACTTTACCTTCAATATGATGAGTTTTAACTCTGTGATGTTATCCGGATGCACCCAGTATTTGGTTGTTTGTCGGATGAAACTGGCTTGACTTCCACCTGCCGAACTATCACCCTGTACCGGATTTCCCCTTGTTCTAACCAAGTCATATAATTTGGACAGCTTAACAATGTCCGCATCATAGTTATCTTTGAAGAAAGGCTTCGCCTTTAATCTTGTCGCAAATACAGGTTTTAGCATCCACTTGGTAGTTTTCTAGCAAAGGTTAGCTGGAGCGGTATACATGTAACTAACAAACTTACGTCATGCTTCTTGATGATTTTTTGGAACCCAGTATAATTCAACTGCACAAATTTGGCCAAATCATGTACATCTGCGATAATGTCGCTCAAATCTTCCTCCAATAGCATAAACTCTTCCTCCGTAGGAACATCAGAATCTGCGGATCCGTTGCTACGTTCAGGTCCTCTCGAATCTAACCTCCCGACAACTTCACTAACTTCTCTATCCGCGTTTGCAATCCTTCGACTAATTTCGATAGCCTTCAGCTTCTGTTTGGTATGCACCTTGTCTAGCTCTGCCTCCATAAGATCAATAAACTCTCTCTCATTGGCTTCCGTCCATTCTACCCTCTTCGAGCTCGACTTGTTTTTGTTTGGAGTGGAAACAAATGTAGTCTTGAGCTTCTCTTTCAGTTCATCGTATGCAATGTAGTACCATTGGTACTCTTTGATCACACTCGACCGAAGCTGCTCGCCAAACTTCATGATGATAGTTCCGGGTGGGAAATTGTATTGGCCTGTAGGGCTGTTGGTCTGCGATAACCAACGTTGGGTACCTGTTTTTAAATCCTTAATAATCAGCATTTATAACAATCAAAGAACTTTCAATGTCTGAGCATAAATAACTAGGTAAGTTTGCAGCGACGCGCAAGTTGGAAGTGGGTACTTGTAGACAGGAGGCGCATGAAGAGAGTGTACCTGAGTATATACACCGAATCGGTGAGTTTTGCTCGTTTGCAGGAAGAACGAGGATATCACCAAATGAGGAAGTCGCTGACTATAACGACGGAAGAAGGTGAGAGGGTGATAATATCGGTGTCGAGTCTTAAAAATTAGTATTTTAGGTTGTGCTAGGAAAGTTGCATAATTAATATAAAGCTATGAATGAATGTAATGTTCCGATGATGGAAAGCAACTTGAAAGCTTTCATTGACCAATCATAAATCGGTGGCTCAAAACGTGTGAAATCTAGATTAATACCTAATTTAGTTTAGGCGATTTGTACATTCTGTGGAAGAGTTCTTATCTCATCTTATCTTCTTTAGAGTTCATATTTACTAGGTATGGTATGTACTCCGCACAATGAATTGGCTGGATGTAACATTGTAAAATCATGGATTCATCACGTGCACCTCCTTGACTATCGTCTGCGTTACGCTGTCATCAGATTTCGTCTATCAAGATACCTGGTGCTCAGCAGGTACATGCTGTTAATTATCATCTAGAAGCGTCGCAGAAGACTTCCAGATTCGTTACATATATGCCGTCTGGGACTTTGAGTAGTGGGAATCTGTCAATTAGAAGTCAAAATCTTCGTCTTGCTTGGATTCAATTCTACCAGGCTCGGTTCTACGAGCTCAATTTCAAACCATTGCAGACCTAATTGTACTTACTTTGTTACATCATGGCAACTACTACTGCTCCAAACACGCCATTGCTGATTTATGGTTCCATCATTCAGTCAGCTAGTGTGGATTCTCTTGAGTATGTCGAACAAGGCCTCCTAGTTATTAAGTCTGGGAAGATACTCCATTATTGCAAGAATGTTAGAAAGGAGGATATTCCCACCATTCTTGGCAGTTTTGAAATTGGAGCTCTTCTCCCAAGTGTTCGCTATCTCAAAAAAGGTCAATTTGTCATTCCTGGATTCGTTGACAGTCACAACCACGCACCTCAATGGGCTCAGCGAGGTTTGGGACGAGGGTTAGAAATTCTGGATTGGTTGGATCAAGTAACATTCCCAAATGAGGCAAAATTCGAAGATCCTGATCATGCTCGGCGTATTTACAATTCCTGTGTTGACGGATTCATCAAGCAAGGCATCACCACCGTGTCATACTATGGGTCTTTGCACGGTGAAGCGACAAAGATATTAGCTGATATCTGTTTTGAAAAAGGACAACGAGCTTTCGTTGGAAAATGCAACATGAATCGCAACTCCCCTGCCTATTACACAGATGCATCTGCAGAATCCTCTCTTGAAGTCACGAAGGAGTTCATTTCTCACGTTCGACACGTCGACCCCAATTTTGATTTGGTCAGTCCTGTTCTTACTCCTCGGTTCGCAATTTCCTGTACCGATGAACTTCTTGCGGGCATCGGACAGATTGCAAAAGACAATCCGACCTTACCCATTCAAACCCATTTTTGCGAGGCGGAATCCGAGAAATCTGCTACATTATCCCTGTTTCCATCATTTACGAACGAAGCAGATCTCTATGAAAGTTTCAATCTATTATCTCAGCGTTCCATTCTCGCACACTGCACCATAATGACAGATTACGAAATAGAGCGAATTGCTGCACTCGATTGTGGAGTAGCACATTGCCCGGTTTCGAATACTACAGTTGGTGGTGGATTTATGGCAGCACCCATTCGCGAATACCTTCGTCGTGGTATTAAAGTTGGATTAGGAACTGACAGTGGTGGTGGATTCTCTTCCTCAATTTTGGATGCTATGCGACAGGCTTTCATAGTATCCAATGCGAGAGATTTCCTTACCAAAGGTGCTGATCCACGGCTATCTCTTGCTGAATGTTTCTACCTTGCGACACTTGGTGGTGCTCGAGTTTGTTGTTTAGACCATGTCATTGGCGACTTTTCCAATGGAAAACAATTTGATGCTTTGATCATTGATACAGAGATAGATGGAGCAATGACACTGACTGATGAGAAAGATATCCTTCCGGTTATTTTTGAGAAGTTTCTGATGAGTGGAGATGATCGGAATATTCTTGAAGTTTATGTCAAAGGCAGACAGATCAAAATTTGACCAAATCTTATAGCAGTTCTCCAAGTACCAGACATATCTTTTATTGCTAGAAAGGAAAGATTGAGACCACCTTAACAAGGCTAGATTGGGCTTAATAATTTGGAAAAAAGCAGCATGTTACCAAGTCTAAAGTAGCTTAGTGAACATATTTTTTCTTTGAATGTTATACTTCTCCGCATTTCACAAACCCTATTGATTGACTGACAGCTGACAAATCAGCCCCTGTAACCGTGTGTACCCCACGTTTCTTCCATGCGTCACTACAATAGAATTGAATGTTCAAAGAGTTCCCTCCACGTGTTTAAACCCAAAATTTATTCTTCCCAAATCAACAGCTAATTCATCCCCGTTATCATGTCCGATTCTGCCTCAAAACAACCATCTCAAGCACCTACAGCTACTGACAAGCTTTCACCTCTCAGAATTCTTTGTTTAGGCGACTCCCTTACAGAAGGTTATTCACAGTATGGTACTCAGTTTTATCCCTATAGCAAATGGATGAAAGAAGTGTTGGGGGAGAAGTGGCCTGATAGGGAAATTGAGGTCATAACTGATGGGATCAGTGGGGATTTACTTACCCTGCCTGGAGGATTTAAAAGAAGGATGGAGAGGCACTGTAAGTTTTGAAGTTCGTCAATTGGCGAGCATGGTAGCTGGATGTGGGAAATCTTGGGTGGATGGATGGGTATCAATAAAACCTGGATAATCGAGTGATTACATCCGGTGAAGCTTGGTAGTCTCTCCTAGCCATCCATGATTACCATACACTCTTACATTTTATATCATGGGACAATATCAGCCCTATGTTCTGCATTCTTCAGAGAGTGTTCAAGCGTTTTATACTCATGGTCTCCTAAATATCTCACTTGCGCATACAACCACTAATCATCTTTAACCTAATAGTCCCATCTACACCACCCATAACCCACACAATTATCCTTGGTGGTACCAACGACTTAGCCTATAACCGTCCAGTCCAAACCCTATATGCCGTCTTTGAAACTCTAGTCTTTACCCCCCTCAGCAATGCGTCAAAAGTCTTAATCATGACTATCCCAGGATGTCATGTGAGAGCTAAGGTTTTAGATCAGAAAAGAGAGGAATTAAATGATCTGTTAGTTTACAATTTAGGAAGGAAGAATAATGTGTATGTTTCTTTTTCCATAAATCAACTCCATCTCTCATTCCCAGAACAAAATAAAGTGATTTAGATATGGATAGATGGAACATACAGCTGTGCTAACTAAACACCCAAATCATAGCAGTACATTCGATCTCCGTGGCAAAATGCCCTATCACAACATGGAATCGAATAAACGAGCAGAAATTTGGGACGACGGATTACATTTTACGGAAGCGGGTTACAAGGAGATGGGGATTATGGTTGGGGAGAAGATGATTGAGTTTATTGAGGAGTTGAGGCCCGGGAGAGAGGTTTCGTTGACGGGGAAGGGGACTATGGGGATTGAGTGAGAAGAAGGGTTCAGGGTGAGGCATGGTAGATAGTAGGTGGTCAATCTTACCGGAATATTTTATAAGAGAGAGAGAGAGAGAGAGAGAGATTGGTGAAAGGCAATCACGCACTACCAATAGATGAGATTGAAAAAGTGAGACCACTGGGTAAGGAACATGGAAGTGATAAGATATAGGTAAAGTAGTTTTATTTGTCAGACATTGCCGCCTTTCTAACTCTGCTAAGAAGCTAGATTGTTGCACATTCTTCTGAGGCGACTGATGAGTCTTTTTCAAAGCGAGCGTCTTCTTGGATCTGGGGGTTTTGCGCAACGATGATGGATATCATGCTTTGTTTCTTAATACGAAAGCTGGATACTCGGATCATAAGTAAATTAGGGTAGAGAAAAAAACGTACAGCAACCTCGAACACTTAGGGGAATGAAAAGCGTGTAAGGGTCTTGTTCAATTTTTTTAGGATAGATAAGGATGCGAAAGGTTCGAACTATGCAGGGGACGTGTATCGAACCTCCAGAGAGATAGCAATTGGAATATTAAAGATAAGGACAATGACTAGAGTCAGATAGGCACCTACCTTACGGAGTATGTTGACCTCCATGTAGCTAAACGAAATCTTAACGAGCGAAAGTCGTTCCGAAGATGTCGTATGATTGGCCAATGTCCGAGCCACTCCATCAGCCACCCCATTTCCCCTGAAAAAACCACTTTACGCGTGTAAACTCGTATAAACGCGAACGCGATTTTATGTGGCTTCTGAACCCGCTTTCTTTTTTAATTGTGTTTACACTTTCTTGACATATCAAACTCAGAAAGCTCCACCACAACAATCACATTCTTTTGACACCGGACTTTCACAGCGACATCAATCAGAACTCAGCATGTCGTCTCCTGCTGGTCGTCGACAGCGCAACTCTCAATCTGCGACCCCTAGGCGCACATCAGCAAGAAATTCACAAGCCTTTCCAAGTAGCCCACCGGATCCCGCTGCTGCTCAACTTCAAAATGAAGCAGCTTCGTCGCAAGGCGTTACAGGTACCCCTCGGCGGGGTATCATTCCATCGTCGTCGCCTATGAACTATAGATCATCTCCGGCAGACGCTGCACGATTCAATCGAGATATCAGTTCGCCGCTGAGACAAATGACAAATACTCAGTCGACGCAAGAAGATGGCGATCGTACTCCAAGAGCAGGTGGTAGCGCTCTTATCGGTGGTGAGTACCATATTGACAGACCAATCCACTTAACTAACAATGATAGACTCCTCACCGATCAGATACGAAGCAAGTTCTAGTCCTGGTAGAGCATATGCCAATGATCCCCAATCAAACATTCCAAGTGACAGCAGTGGCCTTTTCGTTCGCTCTTCTCGTTCTCAAGGACCTGGATCTGCAATTAACAATTCTCGAAGAGGGGATATCACATCTGATAACCTTAACACACCCCGCGCCAGAAGACGTATATTCATGGATGAAAGTGGGCGTGTTGTAAGAGATGTCCCACCTGAAGATGCGGAAGCCCCTTCATTCTCGAACCTCGACCCAACAACTTCAGATGCGCAAGCTATGGGAGGCAATTCTACACTTTGTATCTGGGGCACAAATGTTTCCATAAACGATACGTTGTCCACATTTAAGGACTTCCTTCGAAACTACACCAAAAAATACCGCATGTGGGGTGAGGGAATGTCTGAGGAAGATACCCAAGCCGATCCTGAGTCAAACTCGAAGGAATATTTAGAGATGATGCAAAATATGCTGACTCTTGGAATTACAAGTCTTAATCTGGATTTCCGCAATCTCAAGGCATACCCTCCTACCAAGAAACTTTGGCAGCAAGCGCAAGATTACCCTCAGGATATTGTTACGCTTATGGATCAAGGTATTAAAGATGTGATGTACGAGATCGCAGAAAATCAAATGGCAATTCAAAGGCAATCACAGAGTTCCACCGGACAGGGATCCGGACGAAGTAGAGTTCAAAGCTCGGAACCTCCTGTCCCAAGTTCAGAGAGGGGCGACGCCGATGCTGCAACACCAAGAGGACAAGATTCTAATGAAGTGGATTTATGTGCTGAGGTACAAAAGAGATCTTATAGAGTTAGACCCTTTGGTCTGGACAAAACTATTAACATGAGAGAACTTGATCCATCCGACGTCGATAAAATTATAGCTATCAAGGGACTCGTCATTCGAACTACACCGATAATTCCAGACATGAAAGATGCATTCTTCAAGTGTTCTGTGTGCAATCATACAGTCAAGGTTGATATTGACCGTGGTAAGATTGCCGAGCCCACAGAATGCCCTCGTCCTGTTTGTAAATCTCCAAATTCCATGCAGATTGTACACAACAGGTCTGGATTCATGGACAAGCAAGTCATCAAACTTCAAGAGACCCCAGATTCCGTTCCTGCTGGTCAAACACCTCATTCTGTGTCGATGTGCGCATACGATGAATTGGTGGATCTCTGCAAAGCTGGTGACAGAGTTGAAATTACTGGTATCTTCAAGGCTAGCCCAGTCCGCGTAAATCCACGTCAACGGACTCTTAAAAGTATTTATAAAACCTACATCGATGTTTTACATATCCAGAAGGTTGACAAGAAGAGAATGGGGATCGATGCTTCGACCGTTGAACAAGAAATATCCGATCAATTAACTGGTAATATTGAAGAGACTAGAAAGGTTTCCGAAGAGGAGGAAGAAAAAATCAAAGAAACCGCCGCAAGGCCCGATATCTATGAGCTTCTATCTCGCTCCCTTGCTCCTAGTATCTTTGAAATGGATGATGTTAAGAAGGGCATCTTGCTTCAATTGTTTGGAGGAACAAACAAATCTTTCGAAAAAGGAGGAAGTCCCAAATATAGAGGAGATATCAACATTCTACTATGTGGGGACCCTTCTACTTCGAAATCTCAGATTCTACAATACGTACATAAGATTGCTCCTCGTGGTGTGTATACCAGTGGTAAAGGATCATCGGCAGTTGGTTTGACAGCATATGTTACTCGAGACCCAGAAACACGCCAGCTTGTCCTCGAATCCGGAGCCCTTGTTTTGTCAGATGGAGGTGTTTGCTGTATTGATGAATTTGACAAAATGTCCGATGCTACTCGATCAGTCTTGCACGAGGTTATGGAACAACAAACTGTCTCTATTGCCAAGGCAGGAATCATCACAACTCTGAATGCCCGAACGAGCATTCTTGCATCCGCAAATCCAATTGGGAGTAAATACAATCCGAACTTACCAGTACCGCAGAACATTGATCTCCCACCTACTTTACTTTCCAGATTTGATCTTGTCTACTTGATCTTGGATCGTATTGATGAGACTAATGATCGTAGATTGGCCCGCCATCTTCTAAGTATGTACCTAGACGATAAACCGCAAAGTGCTTCAGGAGGAATGGAGATTTTGGTAAGTGCAGCTCTTTCCATTATATGCACAAATACGTAGCTAACAACCACAGCCTATTGAGTTCCTGACCTCCTATATCTCCTACGCTCGTGCTAAGTGTCAACCACGAATCAGTCAAGAAGCATCTGCCGAACTTGTCACCGCCTATGTCGAGATGCGCAAACTTGGCGAGGATATCCGCGCCGCTGAACGTCGTATCACAGCCACAACTCGTCAACTCGAATCCATGATTCGTCTTTCCGAAGCACATGCTAAAATGCGTTTGTCGGGAATTGTTACGAAGGAAGATGTACAAGAAGCAGTCCGGTTGATCAAGAGTGCTTTAAAACAAGCGGCTACAGATGCGAGAACCGGATTGATTGATATGAGTCTTTTGACTGAAGGCACAAGTGCTAGTGAGAGAAGAAGAAAGGGTGATCTGAAGAATGCGGTGCTGGGTGTCGTGGATGAGATGACCGGACCCGGTGGAAATGCTAGATGGACGGAAGTGGTTAGAAAATTGGGAGAGCAGAGTAGCATGCAAGTTGACTCTGCAGAGTTTGGCGAGGCAGTTAGGGGTTTGGAGCTAGAAGGTAAGGTTATGATTTTAGGTGAGGGACCTAGAAGAAGTATTAGAAGAGTTACGGGTCAATCTTAAAAATGGACATGTATGATGAGGATCCGGGATCGCGGATGCGCTGATGATGATATATCCGGCGTTGGGCTTCTATCTTTGTTTGGTTACTTGTGATAGGTTAGGATAGTAGGGTAGGGTTGCAGAGGATGTAGGGTATTGATTCATGAGTCCGCCCAATATGCATAGTAGCATGATATGATATGATTTGATATGAATAATATGAGAGTCCCTGAGTATTTATATTTCTTGACTTGTGTCACCCCAACTGTTTCCTTCCAGTAATAATTATGGCAATACCCTCAACTAATTCATACCAAACCTTCCACCTATCAATATCGAAATCTTTCTAATAATTCTCATCAAGTTGTATAGGTATCTAAAGATACAAAAGATTCGAACATGAAATTTCAATTAATTGCGGAGATGCTTTTAGTGTCATTTTTATCCCATCTACCCCATTTATCTTAACCTTACTATTAAGTTACATTGTTACAGAGGTTTTAAAATCAGGGATTGAAAGTGAAAAGTAGAATTTCATAGATATTTTGGAATTAATTAATACTATCATATGAGGCCAATTGGATATGTTATTAGTTGAACTGTATAGTAAGTAAGATCTTACTAATTAACAATAACGAGGAACCCTAAAATGAGTCTTTCGGCTAATTTGATCGGTTACTTTGATTTAACCTTATCCTCGCTTGATCATCGTGGCGATTGAATTTAGCCCTAGATAAGAGCTAATAACTAATCTTCGTTTAGTTCAATGCTAACTCTAATTAGGTATAAGCTTATTATAATCTTGTTATTTTGGTATTTAAGTCTAGTCCTGGGAATTTTTGATCTTTAACATTAATTAATTAAATGGATGGTCTCAATATAAGTTACATATAACGAATCACGATTCTCCGAACTTTATCTTGAATTTTCTTCTGTGTAGAGTCTAGTTACTTACTTGCTAGAATAGTCGGCGTCGTCTAATGGGCGTTGTTAGGCCTAATATGACAAGTACGATAATGAGTGGATCTATATGATCAGGAATCGTAGCTCCAATAACAAGACAACCCTCTTCACACCTACAACTATGACCTTTTTAGTGTCAGATCAAGCTGGGAAGAAGGAAATAGTGGTTTCATTGTTAATTCGAGCACCCGAGTAAAGTGTTGGTTTAGAATACAGACAGACTTCTGGTGAAGAGATCGTGTTGGGTTTCTTAAGACCAGAAAGAGTATCAGATTGAATTGATTGATTTTCTAGCTGAGCAGTTAAGCTGCGAGTATATATTGAAAAAAAATGAAGGAATAGGTTAGGTATTCGGCCTTCGGAATTAAAGTGCTTTGAAATCAAAATATTGAAAGCAAACAAACAGTATACCAAAAAGGAAAGAATGAATTAAAAGTTGAGTTTTGTTTGCTCCTTATATGCATATGTACTATATATGCATATGCTGCCAAGATCCCAGGAGGTCAACAGATCGGGTGTCCATGTGGATTATCATGACTCTGTATCATATGACACGGGTATAGGCACCCTATCCGTGCCCAGGGTATCTGGGATTCATGATCGAGATACACTGTGGATAATGTACTAGTTTTCTGTGAGATTTGTTTACTGTTTGATTATTTTTGAATTCGGATATTCCATTTTTTCCTAATTATTCGTCCATCTTTCCTAGTGGGCGGGGATATATCATATTTCAGAGACCATTGAACTTGACAAGGTTCTAGAATATGTGCTAGTATTAGCTACTCACACCAGTCAGGATATGAAGACAGCGTGGCCTCGTACTAGCTCTTGCACAGGATAAAATGTTTGAACACTAGTATTAGATTGTGCACTAGTTCTGGCACGGATTGTTGAGGTAAAGGTAGTCTTGATGATCATACTAATATGGATTCTGGAAGTCCACAAATATGACATGGACCGAAAACACCGAACTTAACGACACCATGAAGATGTATCTTAAATAATCATCATCAAATTGAAAGCTTTTGTCTGAGTTGCGTCCTAGTAAGCCTCATATGTGATCTCTCCCCGACTTCAGATCGAAATATAATACGACCCATTCCTGAAGTCTAATTCCATCTATTCTAAATAGGAGAAAAAGAACGTGGGTCTCGCAGGTATTCTTTTTCCATCATTGCGCCATCCGCTAATTCTATTTCTAGTTTCCATAGTTTTCCTAACATCAAACTACTAATGCTTTATCCAAGAATCATCCGAGTGTCAGGTCTAGATATGCAACAAAAGTGAAAAGAAACACGCGGATTCAAGACCGTTACTATATTATGGTAATAGTAGTAGATGATCAAGTCCGGGATTCTGTTGCCGTTCAACTAACTTCTCTAGTATCAAGACTGTTAATGCTGTATCCAAGAATCATCCGAGGCTCAGACTTAGATATGCAACAAAGCTTTTGAGAGGACGATTGAGTGGACTGCCTTCTAAATTAGAGTTGTATTCCGGAGCTGATAGTGTAAAATATCACTAGATTATGCATCAACCGGACTTTTGCACATACAGACTAACATGGACTATTTCACGGCCGTACAAGGTGTCTGTGATAAAAATAGAACTCGTAGATGTGTAACATAAGTTCCAAACTTAGCCTGAGTGGGTGTAATCTTTAAGTGTTTCCGGATTGTTGAAGGTATGGACAATTAGTGTGCAATTAGACTAATTCTACATTTACAAATATGAGATTAGTTGCTGACAATGTAGAGATCAGACCCTGTGCTCAGATTTTCAGATATGCAACAAAGTACCATGAAGAGTTTTAGGTATAATGGCTAGCTGGGCATATCATCTGGGAAGGTGGTGTGGATCTTGTATAACTGCGGTGATCTGAGATTAATAGTTGATAATTCAGGGATCAAATCTTATATTTGGATTTTCAGATATACAACAAAGTATTATAAAGAGTTTTAAGGTTATATTTATAATAAAATATAATAACTAATTAGATATATCATTTTGGGGAGGGGAAATTGATTATCTATAATTGTGATAATATTAGGCTAGTTGTTAATGATTAAGGGATCAGATTCTGTGCTCAGATCTACAAATATGCAATATAATATTCCGAAGAATTTAGGGCTGTATTGATACCAAATTATGATAGTTAGCTGGGTATATCATTCTGGGGAGGTGGAGTTGATTTCGTATATCTGCGGTGATCTGAGATTAGTAGTTGATAATACAGATCAGACCTCGTGCTCAGATTTTCAGATATGCAACAAAGTACTATGAAGAGTTTTAGGGCTACGCTGATCCCAAACTATGATGGCTAGTTAGGTATGTCATTCTGAGGAGGTGCAATGGATATTCTATGGCTGCGATGGTTATTAGTAAGTAGACAAGGTTCAGGCCCGATAAAAATGTTTAGAGATGTGCAACAAGAGGTGATAAGAGTTAAGGATTAGTGTTTATTATAAATTTTACGTAGAAGGCCTTCAAGGCTTCTAGAGCCGAGTCGAAAACTGCTGCTTAACTTGACTAGAGTGGCACTGAAGCATTCATTCATTCTGCTACCATATATCGATCATACAAGGACCCAGCCTGTACCAAGAATTCGTAAATATGCAAAAACCCCCATGAAGTCGCCAGAGGCATCTTGGTGCCATACTACAAGAATCTGAAAGAGACAGCGGAGTACCACTAAACTAATTTACAGATCTACCAACTTACTCATTCCATAGCAGCACAGGGATTAGGCCTGCAATTCTTTAGATATGCAACAAGACCGTTTGATGAGTTTCGATTGGTCTTGCTTGTGAGAATAAAACGTGAGGCGAGAATAGGGAAAACTAGTCTGAGGTGTTAGTGTACCACTAATTTAGTAGCAAAGTCAATGAAAATCATGTATTGGTCAATCCTAAATTGGCTAGAAGCTATTCCCTTAGAAGCTTTGAAGACAAGACTAGTTTGTCTAGGGAAAACCTCTGTATTTAGAGTTGTGAGATGAGTTCCGAGGGATTCAAATAAGCTTGATATAAACACGCTTGGTGGAAACATGGGACAATGGGGAGCAGGTATTTATTGTATTGTATGCGATCTAAGTAATATATGATACTAACCATTGCATGTCACATCGTCATCTGAGAGCTGCAATGCGCTTCTAGCTTCTACACTACATCAAAAAAGAAAAAAGAGAAAAGCCAATAAAGAAATTTTACAAATCAATCAATAGATTTCTGTTAGTACTACATGTTTTTCAGATAGATTCATGAAATTCATTGGAATAACAACACAAGACAATTGTTGTCTTGTCCGGTTGAGAAAACACCCTTTGTCCTTCAGGTGATAAAGATAAAAGAAACAACGCCGACAAAGAATCGGATACATGATAGAGATGGACTCATAGAGTCCACAATTGTGATACCACAGGTCAGAGTCCACAGATGATGCTCGGTGTGCTGATGTATCTAATGGATTCCAGAAAATTTGAAACTGGGGAGGTATTTCACAATCTTGCAAGTATAGGATAAAAACATAAAGGTCACAAGTGAGTTCTATTGGTAAATTATAGAATTTAAAGTTCTTGAATTGAGAAAACCTACATTGATTGAAAAGAAGTACTGGATGATAACGAGCTGGAATGAACCTACATTGATTGAGCTGACAATTTGCAAGTAACGCGCCTGTTTACGTCTTATCTCAAACGGTAAACACATCACTCACCAAAGTTGCTTGTGTGCGTCAGTCACATTTGGTAGAATCCAACTACCGTTATCAGAACCATCCTCCGAAAGTGGTTTTGCAAACGGCGGCACTTCCTTTTCCCTCTTCACATCATAGCGCTCCACCCAGGATAAAAACTTGGCAAACGAGATTTCCGATCCACTGACTTCTTGTCTGTCAAATTTAGGGTAGAATCGCGCGTTTCGAGCACAGTGCTCATACAATGTCTTTTTGCCAGGACAGCCATAATACACTGGTGAGCGATTGCGGACACCTGATGTGAGAATTATACGAATCAGGAGCCCGGGGTACTGGAGGATCGGAAGGAAGTTTTCAGTTACGGCGTTATAGGGCTTGATGCCATTTAAAGGGTAGTAAAATGCGTTATGTGCATTTTCAGCATCATCGTAACCTTCAAAACCGCCATAAAAGAGATCAGCGGCGAGACGAATTCGCCGGTTCGCCATTTCGTGGCCGCGTCTTCGGTCGTATAATAAATCCCATCCAAAGGCAAGACACATGACACTGGATATCATATACATGCCACAGTCTGCACTGCCTTCTTCTTGCACGTCGCTTCGCCCAGTGCGCAGTTTCCAATCGCATGGATTAAATCTTTGAGCCAGCGGTGCTTGATTCCCAAGATATGCTGCAAGAAGACTAATGATGGTTTCGACACACTGAGCACCTCCGCCGCGTATTAAGCCGTCATCCTCACTGCTACAGAGGTAATCAATAGTCTTGGCTTCTGGAGAGATGGTACAGACGGCTACGTGTCCACATTGCTCAATCAGATCTGTGCCAGATTGAACGATGATGAAAAGGTAGCGCAGCTGCCAAAATTCTTCTCACGAGAACTTCTTAGCCGGTTCTGCGGCAGCGTGTTTTGGTCCTTTGCTCATAGTTTTATCAAAGTGAGTGGGTAAATAGACAAACATAGGAACGGTTCCCGGCAGGTGTCTATTGGGTGTCATCCCGTCTATATCTTCGGATGAGAGAGCAGAATGCCAACGATTCGCGTAGTCGCAAATAAACTCTACCATTCCGTCGGAAGTCTTAGGAAGAATTCCATTCTCTGGTGCCAAAGAAAAGAACACTTCAAGTTTAGTCAATTCGGTACCGGTCCCAGCATTTGATTCGGTTGGTAGTGGTGTTGTCATGAGTGGCGTATATTTGGGAAACGCAATTTCCTTAGCTCATATTTGAGAGTTAGCACAAAGAGCTTGGTTAATCCTGAGAATCCTAGACTGCACCACTTGAGTTCGAATAAATTTGTCAATGTCTGCTGGAAGGGGAAAGAACATTTGCGCTCTTCCCTGACGTGAGATTGAATGAGTAGAAGCTGTTTCCGGGGTGTGGAAAGGTGCATTGCGGGCGGGTAATCTATCGCTTGAGTCCATCCAAGTATCTCTTCCATGATCCATGATAATCGAGCTTGGGTGTGCTATGTACAGGGTAGATGTGTGTATATGAGGCTGGACTTCAATATGCAGTTGCAGTATCCATACGTCTTATATTAACAAACACAATAGCATTGTTCACCTCCATTACACTTGCTATTCTAACAATCGAATAAAGAAAAACTAAGTTCTCGCGACGAATATAGAAGACGTATAGAATGAACGCAATGGATGATAACTTGTCCGTGCAGTTCGAACAACTGAGGAGTAGGAAAGAGAGCACTTGCTTTTTTGATCCTCAAGTTTCACTACTTTTGAGGAGGGCCTGAGATCAAAGTGGTATTTGATGTATACCCATGGGAGATGATGTTAAAAATAGTTGTTAAGCTTAAGAGTGCTTCTCGCCGCTGTTCAACAATTTTAGAGCTGTAAGCTTAAGATAGATGTAGAAGCAGCGTAAGAACGTTAATCAATCATTTGATTCTACTTCGATGGCACCAAATCATTCTGTCTCAATCAAAAACCTAAGAACGAAGGAGATATAAAATTTCTGTGCAGTGAGAACGGGAGACACGAGGGAAGCTCCTACTCCCATTAGCGCCAAATTTCAGTGAATCCTCAGGCACCAATGACAATGCGACCACGATTTCCATACCGATAGCTTCATCCCCCCCAAGCGCAGCTCCAGAAACCACCTCCTCCACATCCCACACCCAAATAACTCCTGCCAATCGGCCCCAAATTCTCAATATGGCGCCCAACATGTCCCTGTTCTCCGTTAATGCGATTCTAATCCTCAATGCCGAAGATGGTTCTCGAGTGTTCACTAAATACTACTCTCCACCCCACCACAGCTCCTCATGTATGCACTACCTATGCCAATTCTTATATCGTAACTAACACAATCCGCAGCACCAGCAACGCCATACCCAGATCAAAAATCTCAAAAAGCATTCGAAAAAGGCCTTCTCGAGAAGACGCAAAAGCAAACCGCAGATATCATTCTCTACGACAATCGCATTGTTTTATACAAGAGTGAGAGCGATGTTATGATGTATGTGGTTGGAGGGAGTAGACGAGAATGAGATTATGCTGTATAATGTTATTTTGGGCTTTGAGAGATTCTTTGCATTTATTATTTAAGTATGCTTTTCCCCCATCAAGAGACCTGGACGCACTCCTTCGTCTCTTGCCGTTTCCCGAGCTGCGAAGGAATCCAAGACTAACATTTCACAGGCAATCCGTAGATAAACGGACTATAATCGAAAACTACGATCTCCTCTCCTTAGCAGTTGACGAGATGGTCGATGACGGTATTATCCTCGAAACAGACCCCACGATTATCGTACAAAGAGTTAGCAAAGCCCCTACACAAGATGTAGCGCAATTGAAGGGCATTGATCTGAGTGAACAAGGTATGAACAATCTGGCACAATTTGGAAAGGCAAAGTTGGGGGATTGGCTGAGGCAGGGTTTGTAAAGGGTATGGAGAGCAAAGATCATGTCAATGTGGATGGGCGATGTTATATCTGGTTGGCAGCCTTGAAAGGAGTTTAGATTGTACTGGAGTTGGGGCATATTATATTCCCAGGCATAGGAATATTGAAATCATATTGGGACGCAACTTGTTCTATGGTATTGTATCTAAATGTATTGATCTTCAAAGTAATCCTTTATCTTCTATTTTTCGATCACTGTAGCTGCTTTTCGAAGCCTGTTCATGACTGCTGCTGCGATATTCCCCTCGTCTTTGATTCCTTCTACAAAGATGACGTCGCAACCTTTTTGATCTAACTCGCGCAGGGCAGAAAAAAGACCATGGGCGATATCTTTAACTTCACTGCCAAGAGCAATTTTTAGACAGTCCGCCACATGCCAGCCTGTCGGTTGATCACCTAGATCTTTAATCCAAGGCTTATGCTTTGTTGTGTAAAGCATGAATTTGTTTGAGTGCAAGACCCCTGCTATGTCGATAGTTTCTCTGTCCCCCTCAGTTATTTGAATATCATAGTCGGCAGTTTGACATGTAGCACGGAATTCCCAATGCTTGGTAGAAATTATACCAACTCTGGCTGGCTTATCGTCTGATTCGTGTTCAACCTGTTCCGTCTTTTCAGCTCGTGCCGTCACTATTGAGAATGCTTCGTCTCCGAAAAGAGGTTCAATGCGGCGCCCGTTCTCGCATAATATAACCTTTGCCTTGGGGCTGTAATGTTTATACTTCATTCCTGGTGCTCTAGGCGCCTTGTCTCCAATTTCACTTTGGTCTTTATAGCCTTTCACCACCCTTTCCCATCCATGGCACCCTCGAATCTCGTCAATACTCACACCGCCAGGTCTAAGTACAACAGGAGGGTCGCACATTCCATCTACGACTGTGCTTTCAACTCCAACTTGGCATGCCCCACCATCGAGTATGATTTCAATTCTGCCATTGAGATCATGGTACACATGCTCGGCTGTTGTGCATGAAGGTTTGGTCGAGGCATTCGCAGATGGAGCGGCCAGGGGAACACCAGCCAGGCGTATTAATGATAGCGCAAGAGGAGAACTCGGCATGCGTGCGCCAAATGTTTGTAGACCTGCCGTCACTTCTGGAGCGAGTTTGCTTGGAGATGGATTTGGTAACAGGATGGTTAAAGGACCAGGCCAAAAACATTTGATCAGTGGCTTGTAGATCTCTGGGATCTCTGGAAAATCCGCACCTGAGCTCTGGTTCTCAGTCGATGATAAGAGACTGCGTAGCATAGTAAGATCGCAAACATGTATGATGAGTGGGTTGTCAGACGGCCGTCCTTTTGTCTTGTATATTCCTTTGACTGCATCACTTCTCGTAGCATCCGCGCCTAGTCCATATACAGTTTCTGTGGGAAAAGCTACAGGTATGCTTTTTGTCTTCAGGTACTCGGCGGCTTCCGCGATAGGCTGCAAGGCGGAGAGATCCTTAGAGAGTTCCCATGTCTCGAGGGTTTCTCGGCCACTGAATTGACCAACTTCAGACGTAGTAATTGGAAGAACGCGGGTTCTAATGGTATTGCCATTCACTTGAGTAGAAGTCATCTTGGTGCTAATACTGTGAAAATTTGATAGGAGATTGGTTGTACTTCGCCGGATTCGAGAAGCCAGGTTGGAAATGGTGAGCTTTAGCGCTCTACTCTTCGACTCCTCCTTTTGAATAAACCTTTGATCAATCCTTTAGACGTCCTGAACATACTTCCTCTTCAATAACAATTTTTCAAAAACTGTGTACATACATTTGCATTCTAATAAAGAGTTGTGACTTGTGGTGGGGCAATGAGTGACTCAAAATATTTCTTCAAGGCTATCAAATTTATTTTTCCCGCACAAGGCTATGTCTATGCTTGATGACGTAACAGCAAATTTCTTATCTAAGCAAAAAAAGCCCTAACGTGGTTTATCAGTATATGCACCATATCAGCATGTGCACCACTTTTACCTCAATTATTATCTTTCCACTTCAATACGCGATTTATCAACAATCTATAATGCAATCGAATAATAAAGAAGCTCAAATACTCTTAGCTATCGAAGCTATTCGAAAAGATAAAAAATTAAGTATTCGGAAGGCTACAAAGCTATATAATATATCGCATACAACACTTATCCGCAGAATGAATAGTTTAACCCCTCGTACAGAATTTCGATCAAAAAGCCATAATTTGACTGATTTGGAAGAGGAAGTACTTATTCAATATATATTCGATGTAGACGAAAGAGGATTTAGTCCTCGAATAAGTGATGTGGAAGATATGGCGAATTATATACTCGAAACGCGGGGTGTGAAGAAGGTTGGAAAGCTCTGGGCTCATCGCTTTGTGAAACGATATACAGAATTAAAGATGTGTTTTAATCGCATTTATGATTTTCAAAAAGCTCTCTGCGAAGATTCAGAGCTTATTGAAAGATGGTTTCGATTAATATTGAATATGCAGGCCAAATATGGTATTCTGGACTGCGATTTCTACAACTTCGATGAGACAGGTTTTATGATGGGACAAATATCATCACATATAGTAGTTACTAAAGCTGATCGATGTGGAAGAAGCAAAGCTATACAATCAGGCAATCGGGAATAGGCTACAGCGATTATTTGTGTTGATAGAGAAAATTACAATATACCTCTGTTTTTGATAGTAAAAGGCGAATACCACCTTTCAAATTGGTATACCGAAGGCGATTTACTATATGATTGGCTTATTAAACCTACTACCAATGGATGGACAGATAATGAGACAGGTCTTGAATGAATTAAGTACTTCAACAAACATACTGAAAGTAGGAAAGTGGATAGATATCGAATGCTAATGCTTAATGAGTATGAAAGTTATAAATTACCAGTATTTCAGGAATACTGTAAGGAATACAATATTATATTATTTAGTTTATTACCTTACTCTTTGCATTTAATTCAATTACTTGATATCGGTTGTTTTGGTTCTTTAAAGCGTTCATATAATCGACAAATCGAGAACTTTATCAAGGTGTATATCATTTATATTACCAAGACCGAGTTCTTTCAAGTCTTTAAAGCTGTATATATCGAAGCAATATCTATATCAAATGGTAAAGCTGGGTTCCGCGGAGCTGGGCTAATCCTATTTAATCCGGAAATTGTACTTTCAAAACTAGATATTCGAATAAGAACTCCATCAAATAGATCAATATCAGCCGATCCTGATATATGGTAATCTCAAATACTTTACAATCCAATTGAAGCTCTTTCTCAATCTACTTTAGTGAAAAGTTGTATTGCTCAACATCAAAGGAGCTCACCTACTCCAATATTTGAAACAATTGCAGCTTTAGCTAAGGGTATAGAGCTTCTAGCTTATACAAATATGCTTTTAACTATTGAGATTCATAATCTCCGTAAAGCAAATGAAGCATTTAGTAAACATCAAAGAGTTAAAAAAGCTTTAATACAAAAAGGAGAAGCACTTTCAGTAGGAAATGGGCATGATATATTAAAGCAAGAGAATATAAATGATCAGATATAATGCGATGAATATACAAATGATGATTCTTCAACAAGAAGGCAAGCTACTATACGACGATGTAGCAAATGCGGTAGTACTTCATATAATGCACGAACTTGTCAATTAGATCCAGCATTAATTGATCCTTAGATTGTATATAATTTAATTCTATTTTATAATGTTGTTGTAATTTTATTTTAATTGAAAGATAATAATTGAGGTAAAAGTGGTGCACATGCTGATATGGTGCACATGCTGATAAACCACGTTAGCCCCTACATAACAAATTAGTCAGCGCAGAGGACACGATTCCTGTGATAACGACGACGACCTTTGTCAACACGGCACCATAGAAGGAGCCATAAGGAGATATAAGATCATACATTATGTATCAGAATGACGATGCTATGGCCTTGAAAATCCTTCAATGTCTTGCGCCAACCAAACATGCCGGGTGTTAGGCAACAAGTGTGCCTTCATGATAGCAATATATAGACCTTGGCGAAACATATTTCTGGTGCAAGGAAGAAGCTTCAGTCAACCACAGAAAAGAGATGAATGATGTCCGATCCAAGATCCCTAGTTTATCTGAAGTTATTGTTGCGCGCGCGAAGCCTAGCAAGTGTTAGACCTCCGACCATGAGCCACGAACCGAAGTTCGAAAAGAACAGCTATATATAAGAATGAGCATTTAAGGGAATATGTATTGCGTTCGCTCTTTTCTCGCTACCATATAAGGAAGAGCTTACAATTTAGAGGCTTTTCATACCATTCATTACGTCATTTTACTCTTACAACATTGAGTAAAGTTCTGTTTGGCTCCGAAATCGAGTCGACTCTTACAATAGACCCAGTTGCTTCAACCGGTTAATTGAGAGCAGTCGAGTAATGATAAGCGACGTGTATACTTGTAATGTGAACCAGTGTAAAGTAAGGTATCTTTTGTATGTGAGTGGAAAGAACACCCGACGCCCTTTTACTTTCCGATGAGCACCCGCCACTGCCTTTCCAGTTTGCATATGAAGTATGGTATTTTCGTTCTCTAGAACACTGGGCTTGGTCTTATCACCTCTTTTTTTTAAATGTTATACGAAAATTATTTCAGAAGCCGTTCGGCTTTTGTGTTGCTAGTAAAGGACTTAGCTTATTATCTTTACACGCCTCACAAATTTAGGGTTTTGGTCTGTAAGCTAACTGTCAAGGAGCATGATAACTTATTTAGCACAACAAGTTCCAGTGTTAGTGTATAAACTGTCTTTTCAACAGTACAAAATGCCCCCAGTTTTTTCATCTTGAAATGTCTTGCAATCTCGTTCCGTTCTTCTTTACTTTATTGCTATGATCATCAATACGAATTTATTAAATCAGCCATTATTCACAAGGTTAAAGATGTATTTTCGAAGCTCAGCTACAAGAGCTCTCCTTCGACAAGGGTTTACAAGAACCAAAGTTTCGACAAATCTGATGGTATCTGTAAGTAGAAAAAGCCTAATTGTGATTCAAGTTTTCACCACCCTTTGGATACATCATATTTCCCCAGATGTCGCCATGCAATAGTATACTTCATTCACACGACTCCAAAAATTCTAGTCAAAAGAGACAAGGCTTTTTTTCAAGAGAAAATTGGTCTTATCATCACGTACTCGAACACTTCTTCTAGGTACAGCAGATCCATATATGAACAATTTCTGGGTCCGCGTGCTTGATTTCTCTGAACGGTTGATGCTGCCGGAGACAAGGCTGTATTGAGTGTTCGGTCACACATCATAGATGCAGGCTAACTAATGAACGAATGCTATAGTCGTCAATATCTGCGAGCGAAACCAGCCAAGAGAGGACCCAGGCTCGGCTCCAAAGATAAGCTGGGCAACAATTCCTCAAAACGACTACAGGAACGCCCAATGCGGTCTGTGGATTGCCGCACAATTCCAGGCTTATTACGTCTTCATCCCAAGATCCACGGCCATTTCCATTGCCAGTGGTTTTGACGGTTCCGGATTCACAATGTTCGCAATGGAAAGAGAGGACTGGGTGGACATGCTCGGAGTTCATAGGCATGTCTTAAGATTCTTGATTCGAAGAATATTGTGGAATGGAAAGAAAGCCACGAAAGCCGGCCTTTCATTGGGAATGATGAATGATTTGAGGGGTGAATACAAGCCAGGGAATATTTCTGAGGAGGATTTAAGTTGGAGTGGCTTGTGCCCCATCACATAGAGGTCTCGGTGATCTTTCATTTTGTAATCATTGATTGTAGAATCCTTTGGATATGGAGACATTTTGATATGGAGTTATTTGGAGATTGGGGTTTTTCTGATATATGGGCAATTTGGTCAATCGGCCGATTTATGAGCTTCTTTGATTTCACAACCACTGCATGAAATTACTAAACAGGATTCCGGGGACATCATTAGTATATAGATATCGTACATATTTCGAATCAGTCAAATCTATCCATGAAAGGATTTGTGAAATCAGAGGAAGCTTATCCATTCACGATCAGTAATATTCACACAGACTCACTGGTGTTGAGTGGGCAGTGGTTGGGTTATAATCCAGTCAAAAAGGCTAGGGCTTTGAATAGAATCACTACATCTGGTTTTCATTTATCTCTGCAGGCCCCCAGTCTCCGTACTTCCTATACGTCACAATTCAGAATATCTTCATACATTTGAATACGGTCATTCACATCATAAATGTACGTCATACTTAGTTCTGAGGCATGATTCTGAGCGTGGCGGCGACTACTGGTTAAGGAATGACTGGCAATATTCAAGTGAATGATGAGGTCCAGCGCAAAATTTTGAGAGGGAATCATGCTTAATAAACTCGACGTGTCACAGTCAAACGAGTGACTGGAAGTAACGAGAGGTTTGAACAAAGCTGAAGGGAATTGTTGACTCGAAATCATGTCGCGACCATCAAAACAAGGGTTTTTGTGAGATATGAATGGTAATAATCAAGTGATTAGGAAGGCTAGTATATAATTTTAACATAAGTTGACTCCATTTTCCAGTCATATTTTGCCTGTGGAGAATTAAAATTGCCTTCAGATTTGTGTATAAATACAGTCCCTTTGCACCCTCTGCTTCCACTTTTCCTTTTTCTTCATCCACAACGGACAGATCGGAAGCAACGACAAGTTTCGACAACGCAACAAAATAATACACTATCTCATCATTTACACTTCACATACCTCGACGTAAAGACAATTTCTCTACTTCCCCACTATCCGAACTATTCTGAACACAACTCAGTACCGATCTTCTATACTTTCCCAGAGATCTCTCCTCGTTCGAAATCATCGCAAACGTCATCATCTTATCCTTTGAACCTATTTTAAAGATCGAGACACATCTTCTCAGTCTATCCTCTTCATCTTTCGCAGCCGCTGCGCATAACACGATATCGACACATCAAACACAAAAGGTCGAAAAAGTGAACATACTTTGTTTGTTCTGGCAGTACACATATCACTGTAAGTTGATTTTGTCATTTTAAGCCGCATCATATTTAGTAATGCTCTTCTGAAAGCCCTTATTCTTGATCGTTTCTTTCACTATTCGTTGGATTTGGGAATAGAAATAGATGAACTAATATTCGGGATAGTCTACTGTCACCGACGAACATTCTCTAGCTGTCCGGCTCTTGTGTCCTCGTACCTGACGTCATCAAAATTAAAGATTTAGATCGCACTTTCTGATATCGATCACGCCGTTTATCAAGTATGTCAAGGCTAAATTTAACATGGGAAGCGTGGGAAGATGCAGTCCTACTACTAGCCATAGACTGGTACACTGCAGCGGCAGAATTTCCTGGGAGATGGGGCCCAGAGTGTGAATCTCCACAAGGCCCTCTGAACGGTGTTGTGATTATAATAAAGGATTGGGTAATATTCCTTCATGAAGGATCTTTTCTCTTGACCTCGAATCGTTTGAAGGCTGGGCTTGAACGTGGTCTCACAGTAGCAAAAGTTTTTGACCTGCGAGCTATTCAACGGAGATGGAGAGTACTCAGTTCCGATTCCAAGTTGCAAAGTGAGGCTGCATATGCACTAGAAAATGCTATTTTACCACTAAGGACGGAGCTGGAGAATCGGTCTAGCACCAGAATATGTTATATCGCAGGCGACAAGTTGCCTGTAGGGTGCGGAGAACCGGCTGCTGGAGACCGTAAAAAATACTACGTGGGGTTTGCAACTTGCCTCTTGACCGATGACATTTGGGAGCGCGAAAAGGCAGCAAGAGAGGAAAGAGAAAGGAAATGTGATTTAGCCTTATGTCAAGTAATGAAGATAATGAAGTCCTCTGAGGCAGTCTTGCAACAACCGAACAATAGTGAGGGTGCCTAAGACTTGAAAGAAACTCAAGAACACCACTGGGTTCCCATTTACACCAAAAGGCGAATCATTTCACTCTTTATTTCGGTTCTACTGGATGGCCTTCGAAGTTGACGGAGGGTTTAACACGATTATGAGATCGGTATAGGAGAGGATGGAACAAAAGTTTTCTTTCAAGACACGCATTGCACTTAGGGGTAGGGAGTACATCAGGCTTCACACTTGGGTCTTACCCACACCTGTACTTTACACATTGGATTTTGTTTGTTGTGAGAACGTCTAGATTCTTTATAGATGTCGAGTAATACGGCATTTACTGCTTTATTACTCTAACTCTGGTATTTGATAAAACTAATTTCAGTAAGATTCATGGGATTAAATCCCGTTAACTATGTTTATGTTTTTGATGCCGTGTAACTTTTGGGATGTGATTTGGATATATGAAAGTCTTTGTATGGTGGTTGACAAGAGTGGAGAAATGAAGATTGAGTAATATGTGAATAACAATAGGATGATTTCAGCGCGCCATCCATAACCATCAACCATCATCAATTTTCCGTTCCATTCCATTCCCTTCCCCTGATTCACTCTCACAAGATCCAAATCCATCTCTAAACAAGGCGAAAAATAGCTATCAAAGTTCTTTAATATAACCAACAAACCAGTATCAAAACCAAAGCCCAATCGACTATATATCATCTATAGTATACCATAACATACCATATCATAACTCTCAGACTCTTCACTCAATATATATCACCCATACTATACGTCATAAACTAGGTACTATATCCTCAAATTAACAATAGAATATTCAAATAATTTAAATCACATGATTTATAAATTAATAGACTAACCAGCAACCAGCTTGAATACTAACTAACATAGCTAACTATATATCAGCTAACTATATTTTAATCAAGTATTAGAAACAATAAGACATATACTCCGAACTTAATTTTCTGGGCATGAAAATATGAGAATGTGAATTTTGATCAAGTTTTTAATTCAGAATAAGTGATTGAAAACTCGGGGTTTTTGGAAATTCCTCAAGAAGAGGATTCGCGTGATGGATTGATGGAATTGATCAATTTAATATGGGAATTTTTATTTGGCTTGATTAGATTGGATGTAATTTGTATTAAATATTGATTTGATTTGATATCAATTAACCATACATCCATAGCTAGTTCTCGGACATAGTATGCTAACCCACCTTATGCATCCATCCAATCCAATCCAATCCAATCCAATCCAATCCAAATACTCTGGTATTCATTCTCGTAGTCTAACCACCACCATGACCACTTCAGCCCGCCGTCATTACTAAATTCCATCTCCATCCTAATAATATCATCCATAACCCAATTTTCCCCAGGTTCCTCCCCCCCACCACAACCTCCAAGTCTCTACTTCCAATCATTCATGAACCCAAATACCCCCAATCCCTCATTAACGACTCCAACCTACTAACCTTCATCGGCTTCATATACAAATCATCCATACCAGCCGCCTTCGCCTTTTCCCTATCCTTCTCTGAACAAGCAGCTGAGAGGGCCACGATACGCGTTGGTGGTAAGGGTACTGGACTGATACTCTGTTGAAGATTATCCAGACATCGGATCATTCGTGTAGAATCGTAGCCGTTGCAGACGGGCATGCTAAGATCTATTATTGATTACATGTATTAGTTTAATCTGAGACATTATGTAGATGTATGGATGGATTAATAGCTGATTATGTTTCCCAGCTCGAGGAAAGTTAATATCAGGAGAAAAGTAGATTCGGCTTACCCATAAGGACAAGATCAAATCCATTAGGTTGAAGACGATACTTATCAAACGCCACAGCTCCATTTTCCGCACACGTGATGTCGAAGTTCAGTTTGCGGAAACCTGTTTTGAGGATGCGGAGGTTGATAGGATTGTCATCAACGCAAAGAATTGTAGGTTGAGAAGGGTTCGGTAAATTTTGAGGCGCAGCAAGCGGCTTGTCAGGGGATACTCCATCAGCAGCCGGTCTGGTGATGGACACTTCAAGCTCCTTTTGAACATCGGCCATTGGAGGTGGCATAGGGCTGTTGTAAGAACATTGATTTTTGGTTAAGGTCAAAGTCGTTGGTGATAGTTGCTCTTTCTTCTGAGATAGGCAGGTGATCAACGTTTTCAGTAATTTCCAGGGACCAAAAGGTATCGTCATACTTTCAATAGGAATGCCAATAATGGAGCTGTGTTGTGATGTATGGCCCTGGCTTGAAACATAGCGTACCACTATTATAAGCGAAGGTTTGAATGAACCGGCTTTCATCAACTGCGACAAGAATACATCGAGCGTCTCTTCTGTAACGAAGGCAATATTAGCAGCACCATCATAAGCACCATGATTCATGCCGAACCACTTGGTAAGATAATTGTGTAGGGATTTCTTCAAATAACCTGATGAACCAGAGTGAAATCCATGCATTGAGAAAGTGGAATATTTGGATTCCTGAAGAAGCCTCTTTACTTCGTCAACTTGGTCCTTCGAAAATTTATCAGCAGGTGCGACAGAATTTGTGTCAGAAACTGCTTTCGCGAGAGGTAGTTTAACTGTAACCGTAGTGCCATGATCAATTTGACTTTGGACATCGATGGTTCCATTATACATCCGCACAAGAGAATCTACGATGTGAAGCCCGAGTCCTTGAGTAAGTTAGCATACCAGTATGACCAGAGTATGATTTAATTCTTACCAGTACCCGGCGCTATTGAAGACTCTTGAGAAAAGGCTATAAAAAGCTTGCTCTTTAAAAATTCACTAGAAATGCCCTTGCCACTATCACTAACTCGGAGTACCACCAAATCATCACCGAATATCTTTGGCGTCGTCGATACCTCGGAGTTGTCATTTTTCGCGGATTCAAGTGTTAAAGAAATATCTATGAAGCCTGTCGAGGTATACTTGAGACTGTTCCCAACTAGATTCATGATGATGCGCTGTACGGATCCTGGAGAGCAGAAAAAGTGCCAATTATTAAAGGCTATGTGTAAAGATACGGTGACGGAGCTACATTTATATAACATCCGATCATCTTGCCGGTCCGTAGTTCCTGGAGGTTGCATTACTCGGTAAAGAAGATGTTCCGAATTCGATCTGTGATGCATGTATGCAGCTGCAACAATTGCCACCGAATCTTCACACATTCTAGCAAGATCTAGAGGTAGCGAATCCATGCCTCCGCTATTAAGGCTTTCGCCACTTACTTGTTTAGAGTCTGAAGTATCTACATTCTTATTCGGAACCTCTCCTCCAGCTCTTTTATCTTTCTTTAGCTTTTTCAGCTGGAAGTATTAGCTTTGTGTCGGTAAGAGTTCGCCAAAGTATTTGCAGACTCCGTAACTGTGAAAGTTCTAGGAAAGTCGAATCCATACCTTGGAGTATTCAAGAACATCCATTAAAGTTTCTTGAAGGACTCGTCCACACGTTTCGATTGTTGAGCAAAGTTCGAATTGACCATTGTCAAGACCCGTCTCGCTTAAGAGCTCTATCAAAGTCGTTAGAATATATCCTGAGCACTCCAACCAGAACATAAATACCAGCAGATCCCAGTATGCCGTGAAGCGGCGATTTCAGTTCCTTCATTCTGTCAGTTACAACTCTGAAGATTTTGTAGGCTTAGAATATGTAAAGGCAGACGCGAAAGGCCTCAAGCACGTGCCATCCAACAATTAGGATATCCAATAGTCCAGCGTTGCAGTGCAATAATAACAAGCTATTTGATTTCTGAAATCACTTAAAGACTTGAACAGAAATTCGAGAAAGAGGTAATTTGAAAAATCAGATTTATCTAGAACAATTGATTTATTCAAATAATCAATTTCCCAGACTTTGGAAGGTTGACTCTGCTTCGCTTGTCTGGAGCACTAGATAGATACCTTGCAGTGGTGCGTGTTATACAAGGAGAGCTCTCTGCATTCTCGTAGAAAGACTTTGCAAAACAGATGAAAAATAGTGTTACTCACATGCGATATATTTGATATGAAGTTTCCCTTTTGACGGTCGGCAGCCGCGATGGATATTCGATTATACTCAATAGATACACTATTCAGAAAGCCACGGACGAATGCCTTTTCTGTATCCGACGTGAAAATCGCTATGTCTCGTAGTGATACTGCAAAGCAAGCCACTATTGGTAATCCGGTTCCTGCTTCCGAAAGAGGAGCAAAAAGAACCTCCCGAGCATCAGGGAAACATCGCTTCATAATGCTGCGATCAGTCTTTCTGACTCGACGGCGCTGTTGTGGGTTATTTTGCATAGCAAACATTTGTTCATATGGTGATGAGTCTTCTCCTTCTGAAGATTCGGAATCATAGCCATTGAATGTCCACACTTTACCCTTAGGATACCTCTTTGATAGTCTTTGCAGATCCTTTTCATTCGGCGCTCTGTACAATTTACAGGATAATGTGTTGCCTTCCAGCGATGAAGACGTCGAAGTGGAAAAACTTCTAACTTTGGCCGAGCCTGCTTCATTAGTCCTCCTGTTTAGCGAGCAAGGCCGCGCAGATATATTCAACAGACTGATACCATTTTCTTGAACAAGATGAGCGGAGGTCGAGGTGAAGTCATTGCCTGTATCTGATGCATCCAACGTGGCACTTTCAGGTGATCTAACTTCTCCGTTCTGTCCATTTTCGGCACTGGTTGAAAAGCCAATACTCATATCAAAGAAGATCGTATAGTCAACATCAAGGGATTCTCTCAGTAGATTGGCACCTCGTGAGAGTATCCGATCATGGATAGCCGGAGCATCAGTCGACGTCAGAGGGCCCATGGGAGTATTGGGTGAGATATCATATAATGGGTTCTCGCCGACGAGTGAGCGCGGGGGCCCCACTATGTTGTTTAATGACTGTTCAGCGACTGTAGCTAAAGAATCGTCAGTAACAATTATAGTATTCCTCAAGTTAGGGTTAATCATGTTGGCTTCATCCGAGCTAATCCCATTAACTTCTTGGTACTTGACGATGACATCTGTTACGACTTGCCGCGGGATCCTACTTTGACCCTCAACTAACGCAGCTAAGCCTTTGGACATAACATCATTGCGTCTCAATTGCACACTTTCTCGTTTCATTTCAAGATACTCCATCACGTTTTTTGCCATCAATCCCAGGAAATCAATCTCTGCTCTTGTTGCTGGTTCGCGTGGTCTTGGATCAATGACAAAGACGCTTCCAATTGGTATCCCAGTATCACTGATCAAAGGGGTTCCTGCATAATATCGGAATCTCGGCCCTCCTGCAACATAAGGCAAGTTACAGAACCTTGGATCAGCCATTAAATCGGGGACGCTGAAACAGGCATAATGATTCGGCTCAGGGACAACTTCTATAGTATACTAATGGCACCGTATTAGTAATGATGATCAATGGAACAGAGACACTTACTGCACAAAGGGCTTGGCTACGGATAGTTCTAATAATCGTGACAATAGTTAGGAAAAGCTCTACATCGATTAGTTAAAGATGGCTTACCCTCCACAACCCATCCATAAATCATCGCCTGGGTCATGTTTTGAAGAATCTGACAAATCCAATGTCTTTGTTGCTTCTGCAAGGAAGTACTATAAACCGTGAGTGAACGATTGTAATAGTCTTGGTCGGAATCACAAATACCTGTGCATTATCATCTACTACAGATACCATCGCCCTCCCCGCACCGAGACGCCACGTAATCAGTTGCATCAAGGCTGTCAAAGTACTATTCGGGCTGCTAGCTTTTTCTACGGACCGGATAGTCTCGGGACTTTCGGCTGGCACATTTTCCCCAGCAATGGGCGGATCATCGGGAGACCTTTTGTAGTACCGGCGAACCTCGCGAATTCTTTTGCGTTCCAAGGATGAGAGCATGATTTATTGAGTCTTATTAACGAGTGAGATCAATATACACACAAGCCCAGGAAGTTGGGAATGTCGGATTGGTATAAATCTTTTTCACTATATCACCGGATGTTATAATTGATGGGGGTCGGGACGAATACACAGATTTTAGGCCAATATTTTCGATTTTTATTGATGGATTCCCGCGACAACGTCACACTAGTACAGAGACGTACGAATGGAATTTGTTTATCGGGAAATGACCGGAAACACGATAGTCGAAGGTAGGCGCCTGTGCCCCACGATGGAAAGCTAAGGGGTACTGCTGCTGCTGCTGCTGGAAGTAGAGATGTTTTCGGAACAATTATGAGAAGATTCGGGTTGAAGGTTTTAGACACGGCGGCACCATAGAGAAGTGATGTATCCCATGTTTCCCGTGTATGTTGTATTTTTGATAAAGCTTGTGTTGCCAAATGACGTATTTTGGTCGCCAATAGGAAGTTCAGGCTGCATGCAGTAAGGTAGTGTAAGCAAGGTGGATAGATGAGTGAACAAAGGAGGTAACTCAGGGCGTTACCGGTATTGGAATGCTAAACGATTCGACATCCAATGATTCTTGCTTAAGGTTGACCATATAACCATATAACCGGCGAACCAAACTGTATTAACCTTATTCGAATCTCGGTAGCAAATCAGAACATGGGTAAAAGGCTAGATCTGGGGTTGATATCGAAATTATCACTGGGCAGCTGAAATTTGGGGATCCTCAATCGGTAAAGATCTGCGCATGAAAACCTCATCGCTACCTCAGGTACCAAGGGGCTGCTATTTGCTTTTACTTTTGACATACTTAGTCTTCCCCCACGATGCACAGATATCTCTCAACTTCCTTCGACTCCTAGCATGTTCAGATCAATCAACCAAAGTCTTGCAATACCACGACTATGGACTTTGAACAGAAACTTGCATGGATGATGAAAGAGAAGTAGACGAGCAGATAAATGATAGCGTACAAAGCGCTCTACTTCACATGTATCTCGAATCATACATCGACCTATCAATCGTGCGGATTTGAATCAATTAGTACCTTCTCATGCCTCGCTACATCCGAGGCCTTTCAGATAAAGCATCGTGAAGGGTTGATTGCAACAGAAGGATGGTCCAATACTTAGGAAGTGGCTGAAAAGTTGAGATAACTCTGGAGACGATATGATATGCACATAAAATGCGAATATTGGTCCAATACGTTGGCCAAGTAGATTCATGATCTTTTGTTCCTTCTAGCTTTGAGGAATTGACGTACCAAATCTGGTTGGGGGTAATATTTGACACATAATGAGGATATTAGGATCCAGCTAAAGCTAAGTACGTGATTGATTCCAAATGACCGATATATCAGCTTGTAGGTTAACCAAGGTACCAGTGGTGTAGCAACGATAGTCAAAAGTCCTCTTTTTTTCGCCGTATACCTCAAGAGTAGATATGACAGAAAACCAATTGGTACGTGAGAATGAGTAAGGTTCTAGATCTTTGTTCCTCACCCGCGTCGACGTCTGAGATGTAATGTTGTCCGGAGTATCGAGTTGGCGGCACGGTAGTTTGTGATCAACACGGAATTCACAGTTTCCGGGCCACAATACCGTGTCAGAGTAGCAGTAGCAGTAGCAGTTAATAGATGAAGCGAATATGGACGAAGGGAATCTAGAAAGAAATATCCTTTACCAATGCTTCCTATCCAAAAATTCCTTAAAGAGATATATTTTACTTTGAGCCTTATGAGTATATTAGTATAAGACGACCTCGATAAGGTATCTTGATAAAGTGCACTAGGCGATATTGGGTAAATTTTCGGCATAACCTTGTTCACCGCCCACTGACGCGAAACTCAAGCTGCCTAAGCTACCAATCGATATACAACAACATCAAATCTATCAGCGACATCAATCCCACGGATCCATCATATCCCTCAGTTGATTTTCTCAAACTCCACATAAAAATCTCGATTTCGGAGATGGATTCCATAGTATCAAAATACAGTACGCCCTCGTACGAGCAAGAAGCGCCCCAAGAAGACCAAATGGAGCTATACCAACCAGCTCCAGGCTTGTCTTTGAAGTTCGCCATGCCTCCTGTCGCACATGTACGTTATCTTCTCAATTCCCAAGCTCCAATTTGAAGCCATATTTGGAATGGGATCTTGATGCGCAAAATACTAATATAATCTACCTTTAGCCATCCGCTTGGCTCCGAGCAGCTACAGATGACCATGCGAACCCAAACTGTCCCATCAAGATCGCACACGGTACTACAACGTTAGCATTCAGATTTCAAGGCGGAATTATTGTAGCGACAGATTCTAGAGCAACGGCTGGCAACTGGATTGCAAGTCAAACTGTTAAGAAAGTTATTGAAATCAACAATTGCTTATTGGGTACAATGGCTGGTGGTGCTGCTGTAAGTCTTTAACTTTGAACCACTTTATTGTTTCTTTCTCGATCACATCTGATATTTTTGAAATGCAGGATTGTCAATACTGGCTTGCATACCTCGGTATGCAATGTAGACTTCACGAACTTCGTCACAAACGCCGTATTTCCGTAGCAGCTGCATCCAAGATACTTGCAAACCTCGTTTACAGATACAAAGGTATGGGCTTGTCTATGGGAACTATGTGTGCTGGTGTTACGAAGGAGGAAGGGCCTGCACTTTACTACATCGACTCCGATGGAACAAGATTGAGCGGAAACCTTTTCTGTGTTGGATCTGGTCAAACATTCGCATATGGTGTCTTAGATGCTGAATACTCCTATGATTTGAGCGAAGAGGCGGCATTAGAGTTGGGAAAAAGAAGTATTTTGGCCGCCACACACAGAGATGCTTACTCTGGAGGTTTCATCAATTTGTATCACGTTAAGGAAGACGGATGGGTCAAGCACGGATTTAATGATACCAACCCAATATTCTGGAAGACGAAGTTGGAGAAGGGAGAATTTTCTAATGTTACTAGCGAGTTGGTGTAAGAATGCGGCATGGTTTAGTGAGCGAGAAAATGATTTCTTTGAAATGTGCCATTAGCATGGACGCAGGAGCAAGGTTGGCCTTGGGCCTTGTATACTACTGCTTCATTCACGAGTTTCATCAGCTACGAAGATAATGTTATACAAGCAAAAGACCCATCACTTTGAATTATGACAGCTGAAAGTGCTTATTATCCGTAGAAGATCTTGTGTATATGGCAAGTGCCATATCGAGAGGCACAGGATTGTCTTTGGGCACATTCCATATTCAACAGTTCCAGTTGTACTTCCAGTGTAGGAATTGATTCCAAAAGCATTTGATACAGAAGCGCATCATTATCCAACCTATATGACAGGGTATAGAATAGAACGCCCAAAAAAAAGCGAGTCCATAAAAACAAGCGAGAACACTACCTATTTATGGAAGTTCCCGCCATTCCTTCATGAAGCGTCTCAAACGTAACCGCAATATCCTCCTCGTCTATTCAAGCCTCATCTTTCTCAATGTCCTCCCCAGGTCTCTGTTTTGAGAGGACCTTTCAACATTAGTGTTGTCGCGCCCCCTCATGCAAGCTGTTTAATCCTTCGTGCCGCTATGCCGCTATCTTTTTGGGTTCCTTTCGTTGTCATCTTCGTCGTCGTCTTCGCGTCCTCTCTTCAAGCTGGGAACAAAAGAGTTTGGGCGAGAAGGCGGATGAGAGCGAACGGATGGCTTGCATTTTTTATATGTCCTAATTTGAGATATTCGAAGTGGCAGCTTGACGGATGAAATTCGAGGAGTTAGCAGGGTTTGCGTAGTTTGAGCAGCAGAAGTAGTGGGAGCGAATGGGCTATTTTAAAGATTTCTACCAAATACAATAGTTGACAATCACAAGGATATCTGTCTGTATTTTTCAGGCAATGGGAGGAAAAGTATCACATGATTGAAGATCTGTGGAAGCTAACCAGTACTTCAAAATCGCAAGTGCAGGTGTAAGTGTAGTTCGATGGAAATGTACTAGGCTGTTCTCAGTTTCTGGTAGAAAGTTTGACTTTTGATGAAATCATGCTTTGATCTTAGCCTATGAATTACTGCTGAATTCAGTGGTAGGTTGGGTATATTTAGTCGTATTAGTTTCGTTTTGGTTTTTGTTGATTGGTTTTTAGCTAGTACTAGTAGAGTAGTGCGGGGTTTCTTCTCTCTTTTTGTCTTTGGTTGGATCATTAGATCGCATGATGTGGGAGGATTTTATGTAGTCTAATACCTAGGTATACACAGATAAAACACGCTTTACATCCAGCCTTGTCCTTCTCTTTCTCATCTGCACTTTCATATCACAGGTCGAGAAGCGGCGTCGATGGATGGCTAGTTCTCCCAATTGTTGTGCAGCGTCCTTGAGTGTCAAAATAAGCTCTGCTACTTCTTGATTTTGTGCAAGGGTGGATGAGATGAGATATGTCGATCTTCTGCATTTGACATACTATTTATTACAGCTTTGGTTTACAAAAAAAAAAAGAAAAAAAAAAAAAAAAGAAAAAAGGAAAAAAGAAAAAAGAGAGAGAATAAGCGGGAGCCAGCTAATGAGAAATAACTGGTTTATTTCTCAAGTTTGTGTTGTCCATCCCTCTTAAGATGTAAACTAGCTTACATGAAGCTATCTAGTTACATACTATTCATAACATCTCAGCACTAATCCCCGCCGCTCTTTTCAATAGAGCTTACATAAAAACCTTTCTATTAAACAAGCCATGTGTCATCAATCCTTGCGAGCCATCGCCACCCGGTTAGTCCGCCGCCATATAGGAAAACCATCATTCGAACCATTATCATCCGCGTCGTTATTTTCATCGGAACCATCACCACTTGATTCACACTCAACACTCGAGTCAAATTCATCGGACTTATCATCGTCAACTTCAGAAGGCGTATAATTTAGCATAAATGACCCTGATACCAGTGTGTTTGCGACGTGGTGGACTGCAAAGTCATAGATATAAGCATCTTCCTGGTCCTGAACTCCTACTCATTTTTAAAAGCTTCATGGAGTACAAAATAGTGCTCAAGGTCGTCGACATCATTAGAACTGAGTTTTATCATCTCAAATACAAAGGATCAAGCCACCTCCATTTTCGTTATGCTAGTCAGGCCTTGCGAAGGACATTTTTCAGCGGCAAGAGCTTAAGTGAATACATTGACCCACACATTCTTAGAACAAAACATTCCAGGGTCAGCATTCGCGAGAGAAATTCTATCAAGCTATGAATTTATCTGCTGCAGCCTTTCCTTGCGTGCTATCATCGTCATCATCAATCAATACCCATCGAAAATTTCTTGATGCTTCGCCACGTACCTGTTCTTGCATCAAAAAATGAGTCAAGTGCCATCTCATCTCCGTCAGTGCATTTATTGTATAGAGGACCTTGTCCATATTACCGAACCAAGCTCCAAACGAAGTTGACTATTGAATTTGAAATTTTTTGAACACATTCGAAAAAGGCCCAGCTTGAATTCTGATAATTTCTGCATGTGAATAAAAGTCGACGATCCCAAGTCTCCATGAAATACCCACATCTGCTTGGATGTCCCTTATTTTTATATTTAAAATCTTTCTGATTACAAATATATTCAGCGTTATTTTTGTCTCGATCCTCTAGTTGCAAGAACGGGCGGTACAGTCAATTCTCTCTTCGCGTCGGCAAAGTGTGCTCGCAAACCTCGCAAATGTAACTTCCTTAGATATTGGTCCAGAAGTATCCCAGAATTCGAACAGATATCTAATCTCACTAATCCAGTCTCGAGCCTTCTCGACTCTACATGATTGAAACTTTCTCTCCGACTCTGTGTCGAATGTCTCGAAGCAAAGTGAGGGAGAGACAAATATTTACAAGATAAACCTTCGGATCTCGAATGGAGCATCAAAAAATCGGAACAGCGATAATCTACAAACATGTTAACTTTTTCAGAAATGATTATTCTGACTGCGGTAGCTACTTCATCTTACTTCTCGGGGGGGGAGGGGGGGGCAGCATCATTTGAGCCATTCATTATCTTTGCTGCAGGAAACAGCGGAATCGATCTTGTACCTATCCTCAAATCCTCATCTCCGGTCCTCTGTACGTGCAAAGCAGAAATTTCCGTAATAGCTGAAATCAGATTAGTTTCCGCTCTGTAATGCCGACGTAAATGGTTTCATCATTTTTGTATCTGTAAGAATAATGGGGAATGAATTGGAAGAATGTAATGACTTGTAAGATCTTACTTATATCTCTTTGAGAGTATCAGCAAAGTAAAAGGAAAGCGATTACTGAAGTAGTGTAGTGATGCTCGAGTAGTTGAGATATGTGTCAGGTCAGAATTAAAGTTAGGGGCTCAAGTAAACAAACTTGGTAGAAATTAATTCTTGAAAGCTCATGCCGAGATAAGAGAGGTTCATGCTGAGTTGCGCAAGAAGGGATATACTGCGAGGAAACTGCTCTTTGAGCTTCAACGCACGTGATATTTTACAGCACATGCAACATACAGTTTGTATGACTAAGTGCAAAGTCCAAGCATATCACTGATAAACTTCACATGAGTCTCTAATTCCACAACCCGTGATGTATCTTAGATTGCCAAGCGAGCTGTTCTGAGATGGGATTTGTGGATCTGATGTAGGATGAAGACGAAGTTAGATTATCATCTTATCTTCCCTCCGCCATTCGTAACTCGTTAAGAAAATCATAAGGCTCCATATCGCCACCGTGCAATATGTTTCTCGCCATACCAAAAGGAAATTAACAAGCCGAATGATATCTAAAAGCTGTCTGTCTGTCTGTCTGTCTGCGCAGTGCTTTCTACACTATGATCTTGCACTAAATAAACCTCTCGTATGCCGATAAGGAGTACTCGTTAACTCCAACAGCATTCTGAATTCCAGCTGCACCAGATAAGGTGGCATAGAATATATAGTCAACACAGTAGTAACATTTCATCAGCAACCACCACGTCTCCCCACACGAACCACACCTTAGCAGGATAGGTCTAAAGCTATGATCCGATCTGATATATAAACACAGGAAAAAAGGACGCTGTACAAGGAAAATTTCAAAGCAAAAAGAAAAAACTGCTCGAAGCCATCGCTCCGAAAAACATCTCTGTTCGGAAGAAGAGATACCGATTTGCCGTACCAAGAGTAGACGAACTCACACCGCCAAGAAAAGGGCTATATTCCAGGTCGGCTTTTCCCCTGCCACATCTTCCAAATATTATCCGAATCAGAGTTAGGCTATGGATGAACTCGTGGACTATGGAAAAAACGGATATTCATGAATTGGGTATTAGCTTTTTCCGACAGCGGTCGTGAAGTCAAAATCCATTTGTATTCCAGGGCCTTGGAATAAAGGATTGAAGAGCAACAAATGAATGAGTGAGGGTAAAGACTGCCATACTAATATTTACAATAGTTTTCAGTTATTAGTGGTCCAGTTCATTCTTTGTTGTTCATAAGTCCTCTCGGTGAGTCTGTAAGAGGTCTCTGGAAATGACAAATCCGTGGCACCCTGTAATTTCATTCGCACCACCGCTGATGAATACAGCTAGTGGATGTCGTGCAATAACTCCTGGGTGGAAAAGTTTTCGATATATAGTAGTTGTAGTAGTGTTCAATTTGGAAAAGAATAATTTCAGGGTCTCCATTGGTAGAAGTACAGTGGCCTGTGGTACCTTGCATTGGAATTTGAAATAAACATTCGAAGAAACAAAATGAAGGAACGAAAATATAGGCTATATCTTCTGAGGCATCCACAAGAACGGTTCCATTTGTGGCAAAATATCCATTAGTCCGAAATCCAGCTGGAAAGCGTACACATCTCAGGACATCCACAGCTCCAGGTTTCCATGGCTGAGTTCGGCAGTAGAGGTCTGGAAAAATTAAATAGTAGTTCCAGGAAGCTCTTTGGTGCATACCAATCATTTGATCATCATAAATGGTCGATTGATGTCGACCCAGTCGTTGAGTAGTTGGCATTCAAAGAATCCTCTGGTGCTTCCGGACAATGTGCCGAACTGTCCTGTGAGTGGAATCTCATTTGATCTGGGAAATTCATGAATCTTGCATCCTCTCCTGAGAAATGGGAAAGAAATCTCGCAGCTACAAGCTTTCCAATCGTGTTACCTTCATCTAAATCGATGTCACCGGGATTTGTGCTTATGATTGAAGCAGGACGACCCATAAATGCAAGTTCGTGATTCAATGCAGACTGCGGAATACTTTTCGGGAATTCGGTCTGATTGAAATCAAAGTCTTGGGCTTGGTCCTGATCCTTCTCAATATCTCGGGCAACACTGTGGAGGTAGCAGCCATGTTTTGACAGGTCCGGCCGATGTCCTTGGAGAACTTCTTGAGCGAGGGATATCATCGCTGGGCAAGAGTAAACGGTGATCAAAAGCCACATGGAAATGGCAAAGGGCATCCAAGGCATAATTTCCAATAGCGATGCGCGACTTGCAAAGACTATCACTAGGGGAAGACCTGCTGTCGGAAACACGACAGGACCAAATCTATTCAGGAAATGTCAGAATGTAATAGTTGTATGAGGCCGACCTGTGCGCAATACTTCTTTATTTCACCAGGGTGAGTCTGAACGACAATCGCCATGAGGCAGAGAGTCCCGATACAATCACTAGAGCCATGTTAGTTATCGAAACATTTACAGATACTTGAGCTCCTAGACTCACATGTACCAAACAAGAAGATAGGACTCATATAGGATAGGAGAAGCCGCCGACAAAAACATCATCGTGTATAAAGACATTTTCCTGAATTTTTCGATCCTTCCGCCTTCGATCATATCGTTTCGTAACAAATCATGATCTTGCGCCGAAGCGATAGGCGGATTCAACTTGGGGGGCATGATTGAATTGCTCTTGCTTAAGATACATACAAGGAAATTATGCAATATTTGAACAGAATCAAAATTTTCGATTTATTTCAGATTAAGAACTAAACAATAAAAGAAGACCATATTTATAGAAGTGGACCAGGAAAGTAACATGATCATATTCCCCATGAAGTCGAGGTATTTTTCCCATAAACAATATTTGAGAGCGATGGACGTGGGGTTGGCTTACTTCAGGCACTGATGCATGGGCACGTGAAGTTGTATTCGGTGTAGAAATAAGAGAATGACCATCCGCCATCTCTCAGGCAAAATGCAAGGCATCTTACGCACGATATTACCAAAGGCCGATGGGAGTCAAGAGTTGAAGTCCACCTGCGTTGACGAGCTCAGCCTTGCTAATGGAGTATTGTGAATTTCCGTATCGATTGGCTAACATTCACGCATTCGGTGAACATTTTTGGTCAAGTCTGCATGCAATGCAGGTTGGGCATCAGCCTTGTTGTTTACCTGTAACATGTATGCATTAGAACCCAACAGCTGGAACTCGCAAATCTTGTGTCACTGACGGCATCTCAAAGCTCTCCAATTGCCAATATTTCGGTGAGCGTATTTGTCAATCGCACTGTGCCTAGAACATTTCTATCAAACTAAAAATACAACGTGGTTAAAATATTTTCGCCCGATGGGCGGCATGAGGCTTCCGTCCAATGGCGGCGATTAAATTTGTGCTTGGGTCCTTTCTTGATCCTGAGCCGATGAAGATGCTCATTTCAGCCGGGCCTGAATGGCATAACCATAAGTAGGTCATCTCAGAATCTTCTCTTACTCTCAAGAAATGATTATAGACACCCGTGGCCATCGATAACATCGAAACTTGAAGCTTATGCTCTCCCATACCCGCGACTTTCTTGGAACTTTCGAGCTTTGAAATGGAAGCAGGAGATCGACAGCCCCTATCGGCATGTGTTCCTGGACGGTGTCCAGCTCGTGAGCTAGGAACGATCTGTGAATTTCTCATTGCGTTGGTCTCTGCAACAGTAACCACAGTATTTACTCTTCATCATGAGAAAAGACGAGTCCGCAATTCCACAATCTAGTTTCTAATAACGGCTAACGTCCAACAGCAGATGGTTTCAAATACAAACCATGTGGGTTACATCTTCGACCCAGAAAAATTTGGTATCCTTTTGGATCCATCTCCATTTTCGTTACTCGCATCATGTCTCCTTTTAGGTTGTTCGATTTCCTCTTTCGCACATCGGCGTCAGGGGCACGATCAATGCCAGTCGCTCATTTTTGTGTTCGCCATTCTTACGGCGGCTACCATAGGTTTTGGATTAAGAATAAATGCCAATCTCATAATGCTAGGATTTATTCCTTGGGCCTTGATCTTTGCCATGATATCCAGTGTGTTTATCCATTGGACCGTCAGACATTATAGTAAAGATCGGAAATTGCTCCCTTTGTTCTTCCTTGAAAATGGTGGAAAGCCCACAAGTCATTGGCTATGAGAGTCCACGGCTGCTCATATCCTTGGTGATAAAAGTGTGTGCTCCTACGTAACAAGCTTAAATTTAGGATACTGTTGTTGACATGGTATTTCATAGATCGGACCTGGTCCTTGAGCCAATGCACGATCCGCTATCAGCAGTATATCCACGCAAACACGGTGTGCTTCCAGAGGTACCACGCATCTACGAAGAACTATGCAAGTATTTGAAGTCCAAATCTTCTATATTCAAAGATATCACCATAAATCTGCTTTACCAGGCAAGCATTCTGCCACGAATGATCGCGAGATTCCGGAGATTGGCTATATTAGAGTAGTCTAAATGAGAGCACTGTGCCGGTTGGAACCTAACTGAGTTGAGGAATGAAATAGACGGGGACTTTCAGTACATTGGCCATTGGGGTGTCTCTATCCCATTTGTAGACATATCTTTCGTCGAGGCGAAATTAGACCAGTGGCTCATTATTTTTATTTATACCGTGGCCAATCTGGAAAAGGACTTTCACAAACACAAGCATGATACGCTATTAGCTGTGAAATGTTTAAAGGTATGGATTTTTCTGCTTACAGTGTAATTGATTTTCCTTTTTATGGAATGGATGCACCATGGAAAGAGTTCTCTCCTAATCTTCCTTCCTCGCTGGAATCGAAGGACCAGACCAGCATAGGGAAGAATGAAATTGAGTACCCAATCAAACGATGCGCCTGCGCATGGCTTGCTTAGTTGTGGACAATATTTACAGCTGGATATTAGAGTATTTTGTACATCTCAAAGGAAAAATGAGATAAGAATGATGGTGAAAGTTCCAGGCGACGAATTTAGGGACACTGACAATTTTCGACGAAAGCAGTTGGCTGATTTATCGAAGTACTGGGTAAAATAAGTAAGAGTGGTGGGCGAATAGTGGATTGAGGATCAACCAGTGATGGCAATGCCGCACCAGCTGAATTGATGGTTGAAAAGGGTTGAAGGAAGAAGAATTTTGACGCTATAATCCTTTTGTCCAAGTGGATAGAGGAAAGTGGAGGATGTTGGAAAAACTTATAGTATATGGAATTTTAGATCAGACGAGGCGTAAAGTGCAGGTCGTTTGATCAATGCACATCAGCGTCGGGACTCGCTTGAGGAAAAAGGAAAAAGTCCAACGATCATTTGGGGCTGCAGAAATTGATTGGATTTTATTGTATCATGACCTTGACGCCTCATGTCAAGACGCTAATAGTAAGGAATTAAAGAGTTTCATAGATGGCAGAGACTGATCGATAGACCAGTATTGCATGGCCAGGCCGAAAGAGGGTAGTAAAGAATTCTAGACATGACGAGGTGTGTAATTGATGTCCAATCTATGAAAAGGTCAAAAAGGGTCATGTCGCCTCACATTCTTCATCTCCTACCACCATGCAAGTGATATATAGTACACGTGATTTAAATGCAACGCCTAGTGCCAAACAAAGATGAATGAAGGGTGAAGGTCTGTGAGAGAGGATTTGGTGCTTACAGAAGCAACGGAATACTTTGTGGGTATCTTATGGCTCTATTTATGAATCTGAGGCAATCTTCATCTTCTCTAATGTTTCTTTCGTGCTTGATCCAACGGTAACTTCTTGAGCATCTTTTCCTTCAACGTGCCCGTCCGGCTGTGCGACGACATTTTTCTTTGCCGCCAATGCTGCAGCCTTTCTTGCTGGATCGATTTCTTTCTTGACCTTTTTGACCTTCACTGGACCTAGAATAAATGTTAGTCGGAGTAACCATGAGTTAAAGTGACGAATGAATGCAACAAACCTTGCTCTGGTGGGTAAGCTTGCACCTCGACTGATTGCCACTCTGGCGATGCGGTGAACTCTTCTCTAATTGGTTTTAAAATATCGTTAAGATGGGCTGTAAGAGCATGTTTGATAAGTTGAGGGGTGAGCTACAGTTCAGATCAGTAAATGGACAACAAGACTTATGCCAAAAAGGCGACTCACAATGTCTGCCGTGTAATCTTCCTTTAATCTCTCCACAGATTCATAGACCAGCGGCTCTTGATCTTTCCTTTCAACAACAAATTTCGAAGTGCCTCCATTCTTTAAAGCAAGAGCGCGGAAAATGACATGCTCCACGAAAGCAATGACACCATTGCCCTCAACTTCCTTTGGCACGCACTTCGCCTTTTTCAGTTTCTTCTCGACAGCCTCTGGCCCATCCAGCAGATCAATTTTCGAGTCTGCATCGCTGGAGCTCATCTTCGCAGCCTCTCCTAGACCAGGAACCATTGTGTTCATTAAATGTGCCCTGACCTTGTAATTTATCTTTGGTAAATTTTCCTTTGCGAAAGTGAAGATTTTCCTTTGATCAACACCACCGAATTGTGCATCGACATCGAGATATTGTTCGTCCAAGGCCTGCATGAGAGGGTAGATTAAACCACCAAGTGTTGGATCATCCGTTTGCTTGACGACTTCTGCACCAGCCTTCTGGGCGACATTGATTCTTGTGATACCCTCCAGCTTAAATCGGTCCATTGTGTATTCCTTGTTGAGTTGGTAAGAACTTCCTAGCACAAATTCCAAACGACTCAAATCTACACCAACTGCTCTCAAAGCTGACTTGATTACTCGTTCGTAATACTTGGCTCGATATTCGACGAGTTCGAGAGGTGCTTTCATATTGTCCAGGTAACCGTGAATATCTGCGAGAAGTACCTTGACTGTGCAACCTGCCCTCAGTAGCTCTGCTATTTTAATCATAGGCACAAAATATCCACAATGCGGTCTGCCAGTCGTTGCAGTCCCCCAGTATACCTTAAGAGGACGCTTCTCCTTAAGGATGACATTGTCAATTATATCTCCGTCGAGGACCTCAGCAAGATTTGCCTTAATGAGGGCAATCGATTCCTCCGGGCTCATGTCGGATGCCATGTTGTGATATATTTGGATATTTGAAATACAATGAATGGGAAACTTAACGGGGTACTTTTGACTCATCTTCAACGGGGATAATTTTGGCGGGGTGCAACTTTAGTCACGTGGAAATATTACATAAGATTACTATGACAAAGTGATAACGATGCTCCCAAAAAATCAAAAGAGACGGACAGACAGACAGACAGACAAAGCAGCTCCTTAACATACGAGTATGGCTCACAAATTTCCTATTTCGTAGCTATAAAACATCTTACCAATTGAAATCGGCTAGTTTGTGTACCAAGTTATGAAAACATGTTTACCCTTGAGGCCCTACCATTCTCTACAAAATCTCGAGATTCAACGGATGAGTGAAAACAGTAAAGCAGAAACAAAACTAAGATATATCGAATTCCCGAGACTTGAGCTGCTCGCGGGTCATCGTGTGTCATGCAATCTTGTACAAAATCGGATTTATTTAAACATTTAGCAAGTCCATGAGCTGGTGATACCATGCAACGAGAGGATGATCGCTTCCCTGATACTCACTCGACAAATGAGTGTCTGGAAGGATACTTGAGCAAAATTTCAGCTTAGAACGAACTTCTATTATGGATTTTGTATAAGGTCACTTAGGTTTTCGCTTTCTTCAAATTCGAAACAATCATACAATGCAAACTCCTCTATTTTCCTTTCTTGACCCAGTCCTCAACCTTCTCTCTCCCTTCAGTGATCTTCCCATCCACTATTGCAACGGCCTGTTTTGAATGCACCCTTGCCATTCTCCATGCATTCTCTACACTTTCCCTCGTTCTAATGTGTGAGTCCGCAATCACAGGAAATCTTTTCTCGTATTCCCATGCTAGGTTAGCAATGTTTCGCATCGTTACGGGAAGGACGGCCCATCCTGCTCCAATTCCGACTGCGAATGGCACTGCAGCTCTTAGTACAATGTTTCTGTTCCGAGATATTATCGAGCCACTCATCGCGGCAACCAAAACGTAGATAGACCCAGGCATTAACTTCTCCCCAGACTGTTGGGATGGTGCAAGCGATGCAATCGTGGATGTGAAGCTGTTTTCAAGATGAAGGACAGAGTCCATCATAGAATTCAGTTTGTTCTCCGCGGCGACAACATGTGCGTAGAGAAATAGCCGACTTTTTCCAATTTGTACGGCGAGTCTGTCGGTAGGCGTTGGACCAGTACGTTTCCTCAATGTTTCCTCCGACGCGGGGTTTGTGGATTTGGTTGGTGGGATAGTTGGAGTGGATTGGGGAGGAAGGTCCTCGGAGTCATCATAGATAGGTTTTCTACCCTACAGATAGTGCGCGAATTAGTGAAAGATACGACAGAAGGTACAGACGCTGCTGCGTACATCTGGTGCTTCCGCATGTAATGGTCTCTGGGGATAGAGAGCCATTCCGACTAAGGCTGCGCCAGTTGCTACAGGCGCAATGCGCTTTAAAATGTCAGTTAAGTATGCTTTCTTGGAATTGAATTTACTGACCTGCCGCAATAATACTCTGGAGGCCATCGCTCAATTGACTTGGACGTACAAGTGGAATGTATTGGGGTTGAGTTCCCGGCTGTTAAAGCTTCGTTAGCTTCCGTTCGTGTGAGTTTTTATGCAATTATGCTGACGTAATGATTTTCATTCTATGTACGTGCATAAGTTATGAAGATATTCTCCGCATCAATGTTATCGTTGTCAACCACCAACTTTCAAGCCATTGGCAGTTCGGACGAACGCGGTCTGGAGTATGTTGAAAGCGGTTATGCCAAGGCCGTGGGTATGTTCTCGGTGTGTCAAAAGGCAAATCCAATCAAGTCGAGGACTTGCGACTGCTTCTACACAATATCGCGAGCCTCGACCTGTGCCAACAGACCATTCTGCTCCAGGCGCCAAACATGATGATAGAACGTTAAGGCAGATATTTGATTCCCCAGATTTTTGGGCGGATTTCTCTCAGTCGTCCAAGCAAAGTTACTATAGGCCAGGTGTTGGACTTTTCCAGAATCGGTACCTTGTCAACCCCCAAGGATTTGAGGTATTTGCGAACACGAGTCTGCGGAAGGCACAAAGGATAGTGGACAAAGTTCTGAAGGCTTCGACAGTAGAAGAGTACAGACACGTTGCCAGAGACTTAGATCGTCTCAGTGATCTGTTATGTAGGGTTATCGATTTGTCAGATTTCGTTCGAGCCACACATCCGAATGCAGCCATACAGGCAGCTGCGTCAAGAGCCTACGCAAAAATGTTTGAGTATATGAATATTCTGAATACAACTACTGGACTGGATAAACAACTCGAAGTAGCTATGGGAACGCCGGAGATTGTGGCAGGATGGACAGAGGAGGAAGTGGTAGTTGCAGACATTCTAAAAAAAGATTTTGCAAAATCTGCCATTGACCTGCCTCGTGCCCAGCGAGAGAAGTTTGTTGCTCTTTCGCAGGAAATTAGTGAAATTGGTCCTGACTTCGTTGATTATATGACACCCGCGAAATCCTACTTAACCTTTGAGAGTAGTAAGCTGAAAGGCATGGATCCAGTTCTTGTGAGGGAACATACGACATGGGGACAGACTAAAATACCAACCATTGGAGGTGCTGCAGCAGCAGCTATTAGAACAGTCCAAAATGAAGAAGTTAGAAGAGAGATCTTTATGGCCACCCGCACCGCCTCAAGAAATACAGTCCATAAACTGGAGGAGCTGATGCGCAAAAGGGCGGAGCTGGCCAAACTCTCAAGGTACGAAAGTTACTCCCAACTAGCCTTAGGAGACAAAATGGCCAAAAGCCCAGCATCCGTGACACAGTTCTTGGAGGCATTAGCAAAGGATAACAATAAGATTGTTCAAGGAGAAGTTTCCGAGCTCCTCAAATTTAAATTCTCGAATCCTAATGCGTCGTCCCCCGGCTTACAGCCATGGGATAAAGATTATTACATGTCGCGAATTTTGGCTTCTGTTCGTTCGCACTCTCGCAATTCGGATTTCCTTTCAGCATACTTCTCACTTGGTACAGTCATGCAAGGACTCTCTAGGCTATTCACACGTCTCTATGGGGTTAGACTTGCTCCTCATGAGACAATGCCAGGAGAAACATGGAACTCAGATGTTCGAAGGTTAGATGTAATCTCTGAAACAGATGGCCATGTTGCTGTACTCTATTGCGATCTATTTTCTCGTCCCGGAAAGTCTCCAAATCCTGCTCATTTCACGCTTCGCTGTTCTCGAGAGATTACAACGGCAGAACTCGAAGAAGCCTCGATGTTATCTCAAAATGGTCTTTTCAAGACTGATGAAGAAGCTGCCAACGATGGTATGGCTACTTCAAAATCCTCAGGAGTTCTAAAGCAATTGCCAACCATTGCTCTAATATGTGATTTCGTCACAATGTCTGGAAAGTCTTCCCGCCCTGCACTCCTCAGTTTCAATGAAGTGCAAACACTTTTCCATGAAATGGGACATGCTATTCATTCAATTCTCGGGCGGACATCGCTTCAGAATGTTTCCGGTACTCGTTGTGCTACAGACTTCGCAGAATTGCCTTCAGTACTTATGGAACACTTCGCTGCAGATCCGTCTGTACTCTCTTTATTTGCACGCCATTATGAGACTGATCAACAGTTACCATATGAGATGGTGGCCGAGAAACTAGCACTAGACAAACGTTTCGAAGGGTCTGATACAGAAAATCAGATAATCCTTTCCATGCTTGACTTAGCTTATCATTCTGACCTTCCCCTATCTCCGACTTTCAACTCTACAGAAATATACCATTCTCTACAGCAAAAACATGGTGCCCTGCCAGTTGATCCTCCCGGAACGTGTTGGCAAGGATTCTTCGGGCACTTATTTGGATACGGTAGTACTTACTATAGTTACCTTTTCGACCGAGTTCTAGCGAGGAGGATTTGGCAAGTGGTATTCCAAGGTGGGGAAGCCGGTGGTAGCGTTCACAGAGGCAATGGTGAGAAGATGAAAGAAGAAGTTCTGAAATGGGGTGGTGGTAGAGATCCATGGAAATGTTTGGCCGGCGTCCTTGATGATGGGCGGGTGGAAAATGGTGACGAAAAGGCAATGGCTATCGTGGGTAGCTGGGGAGTGAAGGAGTAGAGTGGAATGTGCACTTGTTGCCATAAACGTTGAGACTTATCTGTTT